AGATGTCTAATGTTTTTATTGAAGTATAACAATTTAACGTATTGTTTGTGATGTTTTGTTATGTGTTTGGAGTTTTAAGATAATACCCAGATGCGCATTTGTATATCTGTCTTTTATGAGGTTTCTCCTTGGAAGCGCAATTCTCTTATTTTCTATTTTTATTCTTTCTTTTATTATTATTCATTCTTTATTTAACCAGTAAAAACCAAATGAGAATAAAACATCGTTTTCAAGGGAGTCCTGGCCAAGAGGCAGCAGAATATACATATACACAACTATAGAAAGCAGTGACAACACAGAGTGTTTCAAGTTTTCTCAACTTTATTTTAAATATATTCAAGGAGTTAAGTTTTGTTAATTACCAATTTTCCTGCAAGCTGTTCCACGACGAAGGGAACTGTTATTTATTTAATTTATTTTTAATGCTCAAGGTTACGGTAATAGCCTAATGTTGTTGTGTATTTTTTTCCTATTCTCAAAGTGTGTGCTGTGCATGTGGGATCAATATTCTGCTTTTTTTTAAAAATTCTATTTCTGTTTTTTTGCCTGAGTTAACCAAGCTAGTTAACTCTATGAAGACCTCTCCATGCCCCCTCGACATTTTACCGCCATCTTTGTTTAAAAGTGCTTTTCAGTCCATTGGCCCCAGCGTGCTTTCCATAATTAATGCTTCTCTGGTTTCTGGTCAGGTCCCTGCTTACTTTAAGAACGCTGTAATCCACCCGCTTCTTAAAAAAACGAGTCTTGACACCTCTTTCCATTGCAGTTTGAGACCCATCTCTAAACTTCCGTTCATCTCCAAGATCTTGGAAAAGGTTGTGGCTAAACAACTCACAGCTGCTCTTGATGAACATAACATCTATGATAGCTTACAGTCAGGTTTTCGTAGAGCTCATTCTACTGAAACAGCTCTTCTTAGAGTCTCTAATGACCTTCTGACTCACAGTGATGCAGGGGACTGTTCTGTTCTGGTCCTGCTGGACCTGACTGCAGCCTTTGACACTGTTGACCACCACCTGCTACTGGAGAGGCTCAGAGACTGGGTAGGCCTATCAGGAACTGCTCTGGAGTGGTTCTCCTCTTATCTTTCTGAGCATTCCTTTTCTGTGGCCGTCTCCAAGTTTAGGTCCTCCACCACCTCTCTTACCCATGATGTCCCACAAGGTTCTGTGCTGGGGCCTCTGCTCTTCCTCCTCTATCTGCTTCCTCTTCAGCACATCCTGAGCTCCATCAAAGGAATCTCCTACCATCTATCTAACTGTACATCTCCTTTAAGCCCCATGATATGTCTAAGCTGCAGCTGTTACACACCTGCTTAGACTATTAAGACCTGGATAGCTGGGAGCTTTCTTCAGCTGAATGAAGATAAGACTGAGATCCTCATCTGTGCCCCAGACAAGCTGGTTCCCAAAGTCAGAGACTCTCTTGGTCAGCTTGGTTCTCACATCAAACCCTCTGCCAGGAACCTTGGTGGGACCTTTGACCCAGCTCTCACCCTGGATTCTCATGTCAGTTCTCTTGTTCGCTCTTCCTTCTTCCATCTCAGGAACATTGCTAAGCTGAGTCCCATTCTGTCCCGCTCTGAACTTGAGACAGTTCTCCACACCTTCATCTCCTCACGCTTATACTGTAACTCTCTTTTCACGTGTCTGAGCAGAACCTCCCGGAATCCTCTACAGATGGTTCAGAATGCCTGTGCTCACCTTCTGACTAAGTCCTCCAAACACACCCACATCACCCCACTTCTCCTCCAGCTTCATGGAGCAGGTTTGGGCATACTAGTTGCCCCCCACCTTGGTGCCTGTACATTGGGGTTTACCCGAGTGAATGAGAGGGTAGTCTCCCTCTGCCTACGTGTGGGGGGACGGGTTCTGACTGTGGTCTGTGATTATGCACCAAACTACAGTTCAGACTCCCCACCCTTTTTGGAGACCTTGGAGGGGGTGCTGGAGAGCGCTCCTTCCGGTGACTCCCTCGTTCTGCTGGGGGACTTTAATGCTCACGTGGGCAATGACAGTGAGACCTGGAGAGATGTGGTTGGAGGAACACCCCCCCCCCCCCCCCCCCCCCCCCCGATCTGAATTAGAGTGGTGTTTTGTTATTGGACTTCTGTGCCAGTCATGGATTGTCCATAATGAACACCATGTTCAGACATAAAGGTGTCCATATGTGCTCTTGGCACCAGGATACCTTAGGCCGCAGCTCGATGATCGACTTTGTTGTTGTTTCATCTGACCTGCGGCCGCATGTCTTGGACACTCAGGTGAAGAGAGGGGCAGAGCTGTCAACTGACCACTACCTGGGGGTGAGTTGGCTCAGATGGTGGGGGAGGATGCCGGTCAGACCAGGCAGATCCAAACGTATCGCGAGGGTCTGCTGGGAACGTCTGGCAGTCTCCTGTCAGAAGGAGCTTCAATTACCACTTCCGACAGAACTTCCAAAATGTTCTGGGGGAGGCGGGGGACATTGAGTCTGAATGGACCCTATTCCGTGCCTCTATTGTTGAGGCGGCCGACCGGAGCTGTGGTCGCAGAATGGTCGGTGCCTGTCGTGGTGGCAACCCCCAAACCCGTTGGTGGACACCGGCGGTTAGGGATGCTGTCAAGCTGAATAAAGAGTCCTATCAGGTCTTTTTGGCCTGTGGGACTCCAGAGAAAGCTGACGGGTATCGGCAGTCCAAGCGGAACGCGGCTGGGTTGGTCCCCAAGTCAAAAACCCGGGCATGGGAGGAGTTCGGTGAGACCATGGAGCAAGACTTCCGTACGGCTTCGAGGAGATTCTGGTCCACCATCCGGCGCCTCGTGGGGGGGTGGGGGGGGTGGGGGGCAGTGCGCTACCAACACTATCTATAGTGGGGATGGTGTGCTGCTGACCTCTACTCAGGACGTTGTGGATCGGTGGACAGACTACTTCGAAGACCTCCTCAATCCCACCGACACATCAAGCAGAGTCTGGGGACTTTGGGCTGGCCTCTCAAATCTCTGGTGCTGAGGTCACTGAGGCGGTTAAAAAGCTCCTCTGTGGCAAGGCTCCAGCGGTGGATGAGATCCGCCCGGAGTTCCTTAAGGCTCTGGATGTTGTGGGGCTGTGTTGGCTGACGCAGCTCTGCAATGTCGCATGGACATCGGGGGCAGTCCCACTGGACTGGCAGACCGGGGTGGTGGTCCCCTTATTTAAAAAGGGGGATCGCAGGGTGTGTTCTAACTACAGGGGGATCACACTCCTGAGCCTTCCTGGTAAGGTCTATTCAGGGGTTCTGGAGAGGAGGGTCCATTGGATTGTTGAACCTCAGATTCAGGAGCAATGTGGTTTTTGTCCTGGCCGTGGAACACTGGATCAGCTCTATACCCTTAGGGGGATCCTGGAGGGTGCGTGGGAATTTGCCCAACCAGTCTACATGTGTTTTGTGGATTTGGAGAAGGCTTTTGACCGCGTCCCTCGGGGGGCCCTGTGGGGGTATTCTGGGAGTATGGGGTTCCAGGCCCTCTGATATGAGCTGTTAGGTCCCTGTATGACCGGTGTCAGAGCTTGGTCCGCATTGCCGGCAGTAAGTCGGGCTCGTTCCCAGTGAGAGTTGGACTCCGCCAAGGCTGCCCTTTGTCACCGATTCTGTTCATAACCTTTATGGACAGAATTTCTAGGCACAGCCAAGGTATGGAGGGCATCCGTGTTTGTGGCCTGAGGATCAGGTCTCTGCTTTTTGCAGATTATGTGGTCCTGTTGGCTTCATCAGAACGTGATCTTCAGCTTTCGTTGGAGCGGTTCGCAGCTGAGTGTGAAGCAGCTGGGATGAGAATCAGCTCCTCTAAATCTGAGACCAGGGTCTTGATTCGGAAAAGGGTAGAATGCCTTCTCCGGGACAGGGATGAGGTCCTGCCCCAAGTGGAGGAATTTAAGTATCTCGGGGTCTTGTTCACAAGTGAGAGAAAACTAGAGCGTGAGATCGATAGGCGGATTGGTGCTGCATCTGCACTGATGCGGGCGCTGTAACGGTCTGTCGTGGTGAAGAGAGAGCTGAGTCAGAAGGCAAAGCTCTCGATTTACCGGTTGATCTACGTTCCTACCCTCACCTATGGTCATGAGCTTTGGGTAGTGACCGAAAGAACGAGATCGCAGATACAAGCGGCTGAAATGAGTTTTCTCCGAAGAGTGGCTGGGCTCTCCCTTAGAGATAAGGTGAGAAGCTCGGTCATTCGGGAGGGGCTCGGAGTAGACCCGCTGCTCCTCCACATCAAGAGGAGCCAGTTGAGGTGGCTCGGGCATCTGGTCAGGATGCCTTCTGGACGCCTCCCTGGTGAGGTTTTCCGGGCATGTCCAACCGAGAGGAGACCTAAAGGTAGATCCAGGACACGGTGGAGGGACTATGTCTCTCACCTGGCCAGGGAATGCCTTGGGATTCCCCCGGAGGAGCTAGCCCAAGCTGCTGGGGAGAGGGAAGTCTGGGCCTCTTGCCTTAGGCTACTGCCCCCACGACCCGACTCCGGATAAGCGGATGAAAATGGATGGATGGATATTTTACATTTTTTGTTTTTGTGAAGCACCTCGTGATTTTTATCTTGAGAGGCGCTAAAGAAAAGATCTCTTCTTCTTTTTCTCTTCTTCTTCTTCTTCTTTTATTCTACAAACTTTCAGCCTTCATGTAATGCAATAACAGACACTAGCCACCAGATGCCGTCAAACCTTCGTTGATGGTATCGTAAGTGTCGCACGCTAAATACCTGCTCGCTCACTCAGGTCATCAATTAAGTAAAACAAGTAAACAAGTAAATCTAAATTTTTCCCCATAATTTTTCACGGATCAAACAACAGCGTATTTGTTTAGAAGTTTCGTGGTTTAAATATAAAACTGATCTCCTGGTCCAGTTCGGACGCTGGACCGCGGGCGGACTCGGTGTGACAGGTGGATCTTTCACCTGTGATCATCTCCTTTGTTTGGAGGAGGTAGGTGCTGACACGCGTGGGTGTGTTTAGTGGAGAGGAGGAGTCTTATTATGAGCCTCCAGACAGACGGCTCACACACACCAGTGACCGGCCGCCCGCCGCTGACGCAGCATCCCGGCCGCACCTGTCCTCCATTTCTGCTCCAACGTGGAGGTGCGCGGGGGAAAGGGGTGGGCGGCTAACCGGATTAGGATTCCGCACCCATGGAGGCAGCCGTGCTGAACCCCGCTGTCATGACGGACAGCAACACACTAAAGGCCGAGCTGGAGGTAAAGAAGCTGCAGGCGCTGGTTCGGAAGCTGGAGCTGCAGAACGAGCAGCTCCGGAGCCGGGCCGGCCCGCCTGTGCTCCCTTCCGGGGCATACTGCCTTCCCAGCCCGCTCCCCACTCTGCTTTGTCGGTCGACCTTGGGCTCCCTTTCTCCCTCAGAGGATCCCTTTGACTATTTCCACTCTCACAGCGCGGAGGAAGGAGCTGACGGTGAGGAGGAAGAGGACCCATCCGAACCATCGGTTCTGGATGAGCTGGAGCTGTTAGATTTGGATTCTCTGAGCTGCTCAGACGAATCTGATGAAACATGGTAACTGTCTTTGTTTCACATCTGAACCATTTGTTGCTTTTCGCGTCAGCTCCTGTGTGCCTGCTTTTCCACTTTGATCCGAATAACTTCTGCAAAGCATCCTTCCGTCTGCATAAATCATCTTTATGCAAATTAATTTTTTGGGATGGAAAGAAAAAAAAACTTGCAAAATAAGTCATCCGACCTGTGTAGGAGTTTATTTTTACTGTCAAAAAGGCCATTTTGGAGGATTTTTGTGGTGTGGCTTCATAATCATTTTAACATCAGATTTATTTCCACTCTTTGGTAGATCAAATTCTTTTTACTTCTACTACTTACATTTTCACTCATTTACCTGTATACTTTCTCCTCCATCACTTATCAAGATATCCTTATTACCCTATTAAATGTAGGCTTGTCATGTAAACTGTCTGGATCAGTGAATTTTATTGTAGTTGGACCATATATTCTGATAGCCAGTTGGTTTGAACAATCTACAAATGTTTGAATGTATTTGCATCTCAAAGAGCAAATAGGTGGCTAAAACATGTAGCTTAGTTTATCCCAAATTTGTGAACGTTGATTTTTATGTTTCAGTCTTTATGGCCTTCAGTAAAAGTGTTTGGGGTGAGGTCTGGTGCGACGCAGCTTACCTAATGTTATTTATTTACTTGCATTATGTTTATACTTTAAGTCATTTTAAAATATGCACTTTTTCACTTGAGTAAAAAGCTTGAATTGGTACTTCAACTTCTAAAAAAAGTCTTTAAAGGGATGCTATGCAACTCTTTCATATGTTTAAATCCTTTTCTTGAGCCAGTATGTACTAAAATGATCCTTTAAAGAGTTAATGAAATGTCACCACCACCCTCAGTGGCCAGAAAACCGCACTTGCAACTTCAGAGTAGCGCTCCGGTCCCTGTTGAACTTCGTAAAGCGGAGCTGACATGCTAGCGCTGGAGTCTGGTTCCAGCATGTTTTTCGATCATAAACACAGTTGCTTCATTTAATTTAGTGATGAATCACTCCTGTAGACACTAAGGAAGGCTGGGGAGACATTTCAGTTGTTAGGTTAAGGTGTTAAAAGACAAAAGCAAGACAAGGATATGATTCTTTTTCTTTTGTTTTTACTAACAGACACAAGGGGGTGCTAAAAACAAGCCTAGTGTCCCTTTAAAACTCTAATATCTATATTGACCTGAGCAAGGGATGTGAATACATTTGACATCTCTGTGGTAGACAGAATATGTAAATGAACATACAGAAGTAGTGGATTAATTGGTTACAGTAAGTCAACCCCAGACCATATCACTGCCACCCCCATGTTTGTATGCTTGTCTGAAAAGTAGCAGATGCAACAAGACTTAAAGGTTTTCTACTCGGAGACCGTTTTTGCTGATTGATTAGTTTTCTTATTTGTACAACTGAGACGCACGTTTCCCGAAATACGTAGAAGTACACAGAAGTTGTGGGAGTGCGTGGTCCCTCAGTCTCCTTCGAGCCAAATTCTCAGCTGATGTCAGCGCAGGTTTTTAATCTATAATTCAGACCGATCTTTTGGTGCCTGCACAGCAGAACCGAGGAGCGAGAGTTCAGAGCTGTCGGAATAATCTGATCCACTTCTGAGCAGAGCAGGCTTTTTTTTTTTTTACTGTAGAAGCTTCAAGCCAAGAGGAGATAAGTTATTTGGCACAAAAAGAAGATTTGAGTAAAGGCAGTGAATGAACAGATTATGTGTGTGGAAACTTAAAACCTGTTTAGTTTAAGCTGCTTCTACAATCGTGACTCTTTACCTCTTTAGAAGTTGTTTTGGTGAGGTTTTAATCTGCTTCTGTTTGAGGAAAGTGCAACAGGAAGCGATCAGAAATAGGAAGAAGTGTTTAATGCAGTCGTTTTCCCCTTTTTTTTTCCTGTCAACGTTTAGGCAACCTCAAAATGGGAAACGATTCATGAAGTCCAAAAAGGACAACATGAGATTTGGCTTTACAGTTATTTTCAATCGCTAAAGCTCTCACCCATACATCAGATACTTGTTCTGAACTCAACACAGATTCACTCCTACAGAACACGACTGGCCAAATGGAAAGTTTTCTTCTCAAAAACACATTTTGATAAAGATATACTAACTCTTCAGATATTTACATGCAAAACATGCAATCCACAATTTTTACACTACATTTCCTGGTTGTGAACTGCATGTCCACGTATGAAGTGCACATTTCAAAGCATTCCAGTAAGAATCTAATTCCTTTACTGCCTCAGAGATTTGGCCTGTTCTTAAACGTCCCAATAAAATAAACATTGCAGCACGAATGTTGTGAATGGTTTGTAGGAAATGGAAATGTCATGGTTCAGTTTTCTGCTCTTCAGACTGAAGGTTTTTCCTTCAGATGGGGTGTTGAACCCATTCAGCGTTTCAGCTGTGAGTGCAGTTGTATTTTATTTAGATTATTCTGTGATGAAACATTCTAAATAATAAAAAACTGCATTAGTCGTAGGACATCCACAAAAAGTAGCGTTTTGGTCACAAGTACCTTCTCTTCTTACCCTTCATTAAAGTGACGGGTGTGTGATTTCCCTGGCGATAGGGGGCAGTACATATCTAAATCATTGCAAGCAAGCAGTAGTTTTGTGTTCAAGTAAGACCTGATCAACATGGGCCCAATCCCAATACTCACACTTCCACCCTTGCGCCCTTCGAATGCGCGATCCCGACCAGGGGTGCGAGTGCGTAGGGTGTCCCGATTTTCTAGTGCGGAAGTTGCTCATGCCCCTTTTGAACCCTTGATGCGCACTTCACCCAAGTTCTCAGCGATGCGGACTTGAGTGATGGGTATTACCCACAATCCATTGCTACGAAAGAAAGGGCTCGTGTTCTTTTTCTGAACATACGTATATTCTAATGAAAGTAGTTCATTTTAGGACGATCAGTTGATGCTCTGAATGTTTTAGACAAAGCAGAAATGAACGTAAATTAATTTCAAATAACTGTTTGGTTGTTTGTTTGAAAGTTGTTAAAGGCTTCTTTTTTTTTTTTAAGTATCAGCGACCAGCGTCCCGGCATGTGTTGTGGTCGATGACGCAATGCTCCCTCTCTCAATTCGGCAATTATTTGCACACTTGTGTACTACACACTCGAAGCCTTACAGTGCACTTTCTCCAAGTGCACTTTGCTGAAGTCCGCAGGGCGCATGTGCGAGTGTTGAGATTGGGCCATAGCCATTAGGGTCAAAAGTCCCTGGGAGCACAGCCTCCAGCAAAATAACAAGAACATCAGATTCCCTTTCATCACTGGTAATGAGTGAAGAGGTAAATGTGTAAAACATCAACGTTTATTAATGGGGAAAGTTTTGTAACTTACAGATCAGTAAATCTGTTTTGTCCTCACGGGCTACCGTAGAAGGAAACATGGCATCCAGAGACTTGGGCCCACTCCCATGTTTTAGAGGTGGGAGTGGTAACAAGTAATAAGGCTACATGTTATGAAACTGCCAATATTTTTTAAAAACTGGGCATCTTTTAATTAATTTACAACATTTCGATAGATATTTTCAGAGACTAATGGTAAAAACTATACAGTGTCACTTTAAGTTTAAACAACGCTGCTTCAGTCTCAAAAACATACAATATTTTGTATTTTAGAAGATCTACTGATTCTTTTGTTCTGTTCTGAACTTTTATTGGTTCACATTGGACCACTGAAGTGATCGTATCCTGTCAAACATCAAACTTAGCCTTGTGTTTACTTTTAGAACCATTGATTGTATTCTCATTCACGTGCTCCTGTTAGAAGCCTCTGCAGACTCTTACATGCGTGTTTTCTGTTTTTTAGGTTATACGTGACGTCCAAGGCTCCAGAGACCACAAACGGTGCCCTCACACCTCTGCAGTGGTGCCGACAGTTTCTGGATGGACCCAAGTCTGAGGTGGAGACAGCCAGGAGGTCGCTGTGCCTCCAACTAGAACAAGGTGAGTCTGACGTGGAGAGAAGGAGCAAATCACTTGGGTCGAACCATTCTGAGCACGTCTTCAGGAAATTTGGTTTGTTTTTTTATGTTCAGCCATGTAAATGTAACTTCTGATGTGAAAAAAAATAGGTAATTTAGAGCATTATTAACTTTGTTATTTAGTTAAATAGTTTTATTTGGCTAGAAAAACTGGCTAATAGCATTTAGATGTTTGATAATAGAATGAATGGCCCTGATTTGTCTCCATGAAGCATTTATTTACCATCCAAATTAAAACATGGCTTCAGTTTTGTTATAAAAATCCAGAAACTTCTACAGCGAGAACCATCCTGAATAATAGTCCAGTCAATATTGGCAATAAAGCTACAATAAGGGTATTTTTTAATCTGATGACACCATCTAGAGCAGGGGTGTCAAACTCATTTTAGCTCAGGGGCCACATTGAGGGAAATCTAGTCCCAAGTGGGCCGGACCGGTAAAAAAAAAAAAAAAAAACTTCAGATTGTTTTCTTTGTTTTAATACAATCAATATAAAACAAGGCTGGAGCCTGAGGACAGTGTAGTACAAGTACAACACTTGAAGTGTACTTGAAAATTTGAAGAAAAAAAACCACATAAAAAAAACATTCCTTAGTGATTCAAAGAGCTTACATATCACATGGCAAGATCAGTTTCATGCAGCACTTAAAGTATATTTGACTCATTTTACTTTACATCTTTTAGCTTTCACCAGAACATCAATATCAGAAGTCACATCCTGAGTGGCGGCCAACTTCAGGATGGGATTCAAGTTCTTGTATGAGCCTTGAGCACAACTTTGTTTTATTAATACTGGTTACAGAGAAAACTTGCTCACAAAGATAAGTTTATTTTCACTCTACATTGTAAAGTATGAAAATAAAGTTTACACAGCCATCTCGCGGGCCGGATTTAACCCGCTTGCGGGCCGGATTCGGCCCGCGGGCCGCATATTTGACACCCCTGATCTAGAGGCTGATAAATGTATCGCACCTTAAGCCGCTCTCACCGCTTCTGTGTTTACATCCGAAAGCAACGCCTCCATTCATGAATGCACATCTCTAGCTGGTCAAAAGAGCATTCTCTCGTGTGTGTGTGTGTGTGTGTGTGTGTGTGTGTGTGTGTGTGTGTGTGTGTGTGTGTGTGTGTGTGTGTGTGTGTGTGTGTGTGTGTGTGTGTGTGTGTGTGTGTGTGTGTGTGTGTGTGTGTGTGTGTGTGTGTGTCGGTCGTACAGAGCAGCTTAGCTCATTGAGGACTTGTCATTTCTTTCCTAAAATGAGCTTTTCAGCTATTTTGGAGAAATTGAGGATTACGTGTTCAGACCCGAGAGCAGGAAGCTAGTAGTCAAAGTGCTCCAGAGACTATCAGTCTGAAGTTGGATTATCTCTGAGGCTCAGCACAACAGGAAAGCTGAATGTCTGTAATCTGCCCACACATTAGGCAGATCAGTCCAGGGTCACCTGATGAGCACATGTCATTGCAGAGTCTTTCACGTGCGCGGAGAGGCTTCAACAGCGGCGAGAACGAGATTTTAGGAAGTAAAACAGGAAACAAAACATTTGTTAGAACACAGTCAAATGGCTACATGTTTGAGAGTAGAAAACACTGTTTCCATGGTTACCCTTTGACTCAGAGTTGACTTTATAAACTGAAAGTGGTTCGTTGCAAAAGAGGACAGAAACTAGGGATGGGTACCTTTGACATTTGAATCGATTCGGTACGAATTCCCGGTACCTAGGAATCGATACCGGTACTTAACGGTACCAGTTTTCAATACTTTTGAGTGTTTATTATTTTAATTCTCTTTTATAATTAAATATATATTTTTCTCAATATATAACCATATTTGATAAATATCACGATAAATAACATTAAACTGTTTGTATTTTAACATCGTCCTTGTAGTTTTATAAGCTGATAATTAAACTGAAGCAAACATCTTTACTGTGAACTAAATTTACTGTGTATCTTCATTCCTTTTGCCGTCCCTTTTCTTTGATTTTTTCTACTGGGAAGTTAGAATTTCCGAAAAGAAGGCGAACGCACCATTAGCTGATAACAATGGTGGCAATGGAAGCTAATTTATCAAGCTAACGTTATCTTAAACAGTTTATTTAGCTGCTGGAGCAGATTAAAACGATGATGCCTCACACTTAGATTGTTGTCGCTGGTTTCATCTTCACCCAATCACCTGTCGCATTTAGTAAAGTGAAGCCAAACTTTAGAGCATGTTCATGTTATTCTAGTCGGAAATTCTGAGTTACGAGGAGAAAGCGAACGCACCATTAGCGAAACAAAAGCTAACATATCAAGCTAACGTTATCTTAAACATTTTATTTACCTACGGGAGCAGATTAAGATGATGATGTCACACTTAGATTGTTGTCGCTGGTTTCATCATCACCCAGTTACCCATCACATTTAGTGAAATGGACCCAAGCTTTAGCGTGCATCCTTTCTACCATGCTGCTCTGTTTACAACTGGCTCGCAGCGAGCGACGACATAACGCTCTTGCACATGCGCAGCTGTCTAGGCAAGTTCTCGTTATGAAGGACGGGTACCGAAACGAGGCACAGTTTGAAATGACATGAATCGGTGCTCGGTCGGTACTATGGAATTCAATCGGTACCTTAAAAAGTACCGAATTCGGTACCCATCCCTAGCGATGAGTTCACATTTTCTTTAGAGATCTGACTGTAAATATAAAAACCCTGTAGCTAGGGAGACTGTTTCCTCTTACATGAAACAACCAATCGTAGGAGAGCCTTTCCAACCAGTCAGAGGCGAGAAAGGTGGAGACATTCCTTGGACATCCTACGATTCCAAATGACGCATTCAGGAAACAGCAGAGAATGTTTTCACTAGTAGAAGCTAACCGTTAGCATTAGCAAATCCACAACACTGAGACTCAGCTGCAGCAAGTTCAGTGCAGTCATGTGACATGGTACCAACAACATCACTGGCTACTCTTAGCCAATAACAATGGCTGATTCAAATTCAATGTAGTGAGGAGTTTTAACCTGAAGAGGGCACAATAAGGAGTTTAGGCAGAACTTTCAAATCGTAATAAAGCATGCAAAAATGACTACACACGTCTACAACCCAATTAGATAATCATTTCTAAAGCTTATCAGCAAACTTGCTCTTTGAGTTGAAGTTGTGCAGAAGATTGACCTTTCAAAATGGCAACAATCAAAAAGAGAAGAAAGTCAGATCCCAGATGCTAAATCTCTGAAAATCTGTGGAGAAATTTGAAGATTGCAGTCACGAACACCTACCATTCAATCTGAATGAACCTCGGCAGTTTTGTAAAAGAATAGGCTGATATTGCTCATGCTAGATGTACAAAGTTGATGGAGAAGTATCCCAACAGTTTCAAGGCTGTTGTTAAATAAAAAGGTGGTTAAACAAAATATTGACACTGTGTTTGATTTGTTTTAGTTTTATATACATATACTCCACCACTGTGGACCAATAACAGCGCTCTATTGGTTGTAAACAACTATAGAAAGCTGTGATTGGCCAGCCAGAAGGCTGCTAGGGTCCGCGGAGGTTCCTGGACCAAATTTGAAAAGCCAGAATTTGGTCTGGTTCACTAGGCTAGGTACATCTTCCTGAAGGGACATGAATATTGTCAGCCTACACACACCTTTACATTTTTTTATTACAGAATTTATTGACATGGGGAAAATGGTACTGGTTAGATTTTGATAACGATAAATTTTCGATTTATTGCCCAGCCCTGTTCTCGTGTTTTGTTAACTATATTTTCTGTAATGCAGAAACGACTGAGCCTCGCGACTCACCCAAACACAGCAGCTGACTTAGTTTTATTAGAAACTTTGAGTGAATGCCATCCAAATCCTCCGTTTTCCAACTCGGAAGTTTCGGCAGCTGCTCATGCCATTACATCAGTCGTGTATGAGTGTGTGTTCATCTCAAAGCTGCAGAGAAACCCTCCTACCGCCTCCGCCTACAATCTCTGTATGCCAGACGTTTGATCTGTTGCTATAGTAACGATTTACATGAAAGAAGTTTCTTTTGTGGCTAAGTGGCTTATGTTCAGCGGTAGAGAGGGCGGGGGTGTGGGGTGGGGGTGGGTGGGGGTGGGGGGATGGAGATGGAGATGGAGACGGCCAGCGGCAGGTACAGCTGCAGTCTGAGCACTTTTGTTGTGCTGAATAAAGCTTTGTCTATAGTCTAAATAGAACTGCAAGTGACAGACTCCACTGGTGAGGTAACTGCGTGTGTGCATGCACCAGCTTATGGATGCGGTGATCCACTAGGACACAATGCCTGCTTTTAGTGTATTAAGAAAATACATTTTGCTGTAAAACAAATTTTCTTACATAAGACTTTTAACTCCCTCTCCTCCTCCTCCTCCTCAGTCTCTAGGTGGCGTAGTTCCCTCTCCTTACCCACCACTTCCTCTCCTGGCTCCTCTCTAGTCACCGAAGAATCTTCCATCAACTCGTCCCCCTCAGCTAAATCTTGCTCCACCCCTCAATCTACTGGTACCCTAACAGAAGATTTTCATTATCTATTGATTTATTTGATGTTTGATCTTATTTCTGGTGTTTTTGCCCTTCCTGCAGTAGCTCCATCCCTTTCCTACCCCCTCCACCCTGTCCTCAATTGCACCTTAAGCCCCGTTGGGAAGAAGCTCTCCCCCGTAACTGAGAGGACGCCCACCTTCCTCCCTCACCGAGCCACTCGAAGTAAGATTTGTTTTTATTGGTGTGCACAAAACTGGGTCAAACTGCAGCTTGTTGCACGTAGTTCACACATCCTCTCATGGAAAATGTAGCAGAGGAGGGATAAGGGGCGGCCTACTCGGTAAATGCAATTGTGTTGGGGGATAGAAACAGATTTCATTATTAGTGATGGAAAACAATCGGCAGGAGCCCAAAGCTGCAGGGAGTAATGAGAGGTCGCGATGCGTGGAAACTCAGCAGAAACCAGCAGCTACAGGCAATCCCTGGAGGGGTTTTCCATGGCAGTAAAATATAGCATCAGACAGTCGGGGCGTGTTCTCATTTCAAGTCCCATAGTCAGATCACACACTGGTGAAATTACATCTCCGCATTTGACCTATCCCCATGGGGGGGGGGGGTTTGAGCTGCAGCATTGGCTGCGCTCGGAAATAATATCCCCCTTAAAGCTGAGTCTCAAGCAGGGAGGCATTGGGTCCAATTTTTAAAGTCTTTGGTATGACCCAACTGGGATTTGAACCCCAATCTCCAGAGGTGTGGACTCGAGTCACATGACTTGGACTTGAGTCAGACTCGAGTCGTCATTTTACTGACTTGACTTGATAAAATCTATTAAGACTTATGACTTTACTCGGACTTGAATGCCAATTACTTGCGACGTCAATTGACTTGCACCTGTTGACTAGATGATGACTTGGGCCTATTTGATATTTTAGCACAAAAGTGACTCAACATGGACAAAAATCATAAATCATTCTTGGTTCTGGGTGTGATCTTGTACTGCTAAATGCAGCAGCACTTTGTTTATAACCAGTTAAGAAGCTTTATTTCTGGAATTTATTTATTGTCATCGTCATTAAATTGAAGTTGGACAGATGACTTGATTATGACTTGAAATTTCAACATTAAGGACTTGGACTTGACTTGGACTTCCACATCATTGACTTTGGACTCGACATGGACTTGGTTGTCTTTGACTTGGTCTTGACTCGAGACTTGACTGGAAAGACTTGTGACTTACTTGTGACTTGCAGAGCAGTGACTTGGTCACACCTCTGCCGATCTCCCAGGGTGGACACTCTACCACTAGACCACTGAGCTGGTTAGACTATGGCTGGTTAGGTCTGATGTTTCAATCATGAATCCTTGTGGAAATATGTGTAGTTGATGCATCAAAAAATCATGTTACCAAGGCTTTTCACTGTTTATTTATGTATTTCAAGTCACTAAATAATACACTCACTATCCTTTTATCAAAACATTGATGTACAATAGAAAATGTAGACTAAATAATACTTTGAACAAATTTTTATTCAGGTTGTACAACGTTTTGCAATGGAGGGTGTGGCATAACAGATGGGGTAATATGTGTTTAAACAGTGAAGGATTTAAACCTGGTACCCAAACTGAGGGAACGTACCATCATCATGTCTCAGAAAGACTGAGAACAGAGCATTTTTCCACCTGGACCATTTAAGATATGACACACTCTGAGCCTGCTGTTTGTTTATGAAAGACAAGTCATATGCCTAACTATCCTAACATGCCTCTACTGTAAGTTTAGCATTACCTTACCAACTGTGGAACTAGATTAGCATTATTACAAACATATTAGCATAAAGCATCTAACGCTAATATGCTATTGCCTTATTTACTGATAGTACCGTATAGTTTGCTGCCACTGTGTTGCTAATTCATTTTATTGTTGTTTTAGAGTAATTCTGCTCTGCTACACTATCCACAGTTAAAAACCACGTAGTGATTAAATTGGCAGATTAGCTCACTAGCTCACGTCAAAGTCATGCTAGCAGAACACAGAGACATTAGCTTCAGCTTTACACACTACCATCAGACAGGAAGTGATCAGGTTCAGAGTGTGTCACATCTAAAATAGACTGTTCTCAGTCTTTCTGATAGAACGAGATGAGTCGGTGAGCTCTCTGCTTTGGCAGATCAACAGGTTCTGTTCCAGGGGTGTCCAAAGTGCGTACCACAAGAATTTTGTCCCACCAGCTGTTGCAACAGACCCTTTTTTAATAAGTTACATGCAGAAAGTTTGCTAGCAACGCAACTGTCTGCTGCAAAAGGACATAAACACATTTCACATCAGAACGACCTGTTTAATGAATTTTTAAGTGATTGTTTCCATTTGAAGGCTGCAGCATTCAGCGTTCTGCCCTCAGCCCGCAGTCATCGGTGGACAGTGACCTCGGTGCGTCGGAGGTGGAGGACGACTCCATCCACTATGGATACAAACTGCAGGACCTCACGGACGTCCAGGTTATGGCCCGGCTCCAGGAGGAGAGTAAGTCAGAGTTTGGGGAAAGTGCAGAGATTAAGAGATGACATGTTTATTTTAAATTAAACTGGCTGATCTCTTCAGTGGTTTTTGACCCTTTTCTGCTGTCCCCCGTTGTCCCCCTCTAATAATTTAACTTCAGACCTAAGAGCCCATCGCTACTTCAGCTTCATTAACCCTCGAGGGTGATAACTGTGTGTGTGTGTGTGTGTGTGTGTGTGTGTGTGTGTGTGTGTGTGTGTGTGTGTGTGTGTGTGCGTGTGCGTGTGCGTGTGCGTGTGTGTGATGTTTTATTGTTTCCCCCGCCAATCCTCATATCTGGCTCCCCAAGGTCTAAGGCAGGACTACGCCAGCATGTCGTCCATCCTGGCCAACCGCCGCAGCCAGAGCTTCACCTTCCAGCTCAGCGCCGGCCCCGACCTGGAGGAGGAAGACGAGGAGGACGACGAAGATTACGGGCTCCTGCCCCCACCGCAGCCACGCCTCACCCGCCTGCCGCACTCCCACACTTTCTCCAGTATTCGAGACTGGCGAAGAAGCACCAGTTCCCTGTGCACCCCTCCTTCCACCCCCTCCACCCCACCGTACCCTTCCGCTGGCTTCGCCTTTCAAGCTCTGGTCCCGGTCCAGCCGCAGGGGCTGGGCAGCCTCTGTTCAGCCGAGCATCAGGGCTTGAGACCAGGGTCAGGTAAGGAAAAGCTTTTCTCTCTGTAACAATTCAACATAGAAAAAGATTCTTCTGAGGTTTTGACCTTCAGATTTAGATTGATGAGCTAAAGGCTAGTTTTAGTGCAGCCAAAATCAAACTGTCTTACAATGGCTTCACTGACATTAATTCAATTCGATTCAAGTTTATTTATATAGCGCCAAATCACGACAAGAGTCGTCTCAAGGCACTTCACATAATAAACATTCCAATTCAGGTCAGTTCATTAAGCCAATCAGAAATAATGTTTCCTATATAAGGAACCCAGCAAATTGCATCAAGTCACTGACTAGTGTCAGTGACTATACAGCAATCCTCATACTAAGCAAGCACAAAGCGACAGTGGAGAGGAAAACTCCCTTTTAACAGGAAGAAACCTCCAGAAGATCCTGGCTCAGTTTAAGCAGCCATCCTCCACGACTCACTGGGGATCGAGAAGACAGAGCAGACACACACACACAAGCAATGCGTCTATAGCTACACCGTGATGTCTTAGTAAATATTCTACTTGGTGAAAGCTAAACTTTATTGTATTTATCCTAGTGAATCTATAATTAAACAGATAAACTAGTAGTAGCACATCAAACATCAAGGAAAGCAAAAAATTATTATCAGGAGAGAGATAATGTTTTAGTGGTTAGCAGCAGTGTGCTAGTCGATGGCCCCCTCCATGAGGCCACCACAGCTCAGCAGAACGTCGTTGTAGCTTCTTCTGGGGAGAAAAACACTTACAGAGAAAATAAAGTTAACAGCTGAAATTGCACAAAATAATGCAGTTAAAGAGCAGACTGTAGAAGAAAGCAGTAGAGTGTGAAAAGTGGTCAGTGTATCCTCCAGCAGTCTAAGCCTATAGCAGCATAACTACAGAGATAACTCTGGTTAATCTATCCTATTTAGATGGAGGCATGTTGGAGTCAGGGCAAGGGAGAGCCGTCTACCGACTGTACACTCCACCTCCCTCTACTCCCCCACTTGTCCAGATTTAGGCTAACATCAGATTTTAACCATAGGCCCTATCAAATAAAAATGTTTTAAGGCTAGTCTTAAAAGTAGACAAGGTGTCTGCCTCATGGACTAAAGCTGGGAGCTGGTTCCACAGGAGAGGAGCCTGATGACTAAAAGATCTGCCTCCCATCCTAATTTTAGATATTCTGGGAACCACCAGTAAACCTGCAGTCTGAGAGCGAAGTGCTCGGTTAGGAACATATGGAACAATCAGATCACTGATGTATGATGGAGCTTGATTATTAAGAGCTTTATATGTGAGAAGAAGGATCTTACAGTCTATTCTGAATTTAACAGGTAGCCAATGTAGGGAAGCTAAGACAGGAGAGATATGATCTCTCTTTTTAATTATCATCAGAACTCTAGCTGCAGCATTTTGGACAAGCTGAAGACTTTTAACTACATTCTGTGGACTTCCTGAGAGTAATGAATTACAGTAATCCAGTCTTGATGTAATAAATGCATGAACTAGTTTTTCAGCATCACTCCTGGAAAGGATGCTTCTTATCTTAGCAATATTCCGAAGGTGGAAAAAGGAAATCCTACAAATCCTACATTAATGTTGTAAAAAATCTGCCAATTTGCTTGTCCTTATTCAAGTGTGTGTGTGTGTGTGTGTGTGTGTGTGTGTGTGTGTGTGTGTGTGTGTGTGTGTGTGTGTGTGTGTGTGTGTGTGTGTGTGTGTGTGTGTGTGTGTGTGTGTGTGTGTGTGTGTGTGTGTGTGTGTGTGTGTGTGTGTGTGTGTGTGTGTGTGTGTGTGTGTGTGTGTGTGTGTGTGTGTGTGTGTGATTTGCTATAATACGTGTGTTTTTTGGTCCCCTTCATTATGACATCCTGCTGAACATGAGAGCAAGTCAGACTCAGCAGTTTCCTACTAAACTTGAACACCAGTTCACCTCAAACACACACAAAATGCAGCTTGTGAACAAGATTCTTTGTGGTAATTTCTCAGTCTGAGGTATGTCGACATGCAGTGATGAGACTGACTGATGCTGCTTAATGAAAACCGTCTAAGCCTCTTGTACAACTGATCTTTAATCTGTGGCTTCCATGTGCTTCAGGTCAGTTTGGTGGGATTAGGCTGTAAATCTGAGGGGGCTGGTCAGAAGTTGACTGTTAACTTTAAGAGAGGAAAACCAAAAAGTTACGGCCAACGGCTCCAAGTGACGTGTTTCTGTCTTTGAGTTCTTTTTGAGGGCAGTAATAAGTTTATTTATAGATGAAAACCCAATCTGCTTTAAGGGTTTAATCCATGTTTGTGTTGGTATTTCTGTTTATCCCTGTTAGATAAGTTGCGGAGAAGCATGCCTAACCTTGTCAGAGCTCCCAGCATGCCCAGTGTGCCCATTCCCAGCAATTCCACTGCTTCTTCTGCTTCGTTGCTTCGTAACAGCCAGAGCTTTGACTCATCTAGTGGGCTTACCCGCCTGCAGTCTTCCAGTAAGTACCACTGTTACTTCTACACTGAACAAAAATATAAATGCAACACTTTTGTTTTTGCTCCCATTTTTCATGAGCTGAACTCAAACATCTGAAAATGTGTCTGCATACACAAAAGAGCCTTGACTCTGAAATATTGTTCTGAAATCTGTCTACATGTGTGTTAATGAGCACCAAGATCCCACCTCACAGATGTAGCACATCAAGGGGCTGATGACAGCATGAATAATGTACAAGTGTGCCTTAGACTGCCCACAATAAATGGACACCCTGACATGTGCACAGTTTTGCTTTATGGGGGGTGGTGGGGCAGAAACCCGGTCAGTATCTGGTGTGGCCACCATTTTCCTTATGCAGGGCAACACATCTCCGTCGCATAAAGTTTATCAGGTTGTTGATTGTGGCATGTGGGATGTTGGTCCACTCCTCTTCAACAGCCGTATGAAGTTGCTGAATATTGGCAGGAACTGGAACACGCTGTCGTATACACCGATCCAGAGCATCCCAAACATGCTCAATGTTTGGTGAGTATGCTGGCCATGCAAGAACTGGGATGTTTTCAGCTTCCAGGAATTGTGTCCAGATCCTTGCCATATGGGGCCATGCGTTATCAAGCTGCAACATTAGGTGATGGTTGTGGATGAACGGCACAACAATGGGTCTCAGGATCTCATCACAGTATCACGGTGCATTTACAACGCCATCAACAAAATGCCCCTGTGTTTGTTGTCCATAACATACACCTGCCCATACCAGTACCCCACCGCCACCATGGGCCACTCATTCCACAACGCTGACATCAGCAAATCGTTCACCCACACGACGCCACAAATGCAGTCTGCCATTTGCCCTAAACAGTGAAAACCGGGACTCATCTGTGAACACAACACCTATCCAACGTGCCAAACGCCATCGAATGTGAGTGTTTTCCCACTCAAGTTGGTTACGATGACAGACCGCAGTCAGGTCCAGACCCTGATGAGGACGACGAGCTTGAAGATGAGCTTCCCTGAGATTGTTTCTGGCAGTTTGTGCAGAAATTCTCTGGTTATGCACGCCGATTGTTGCTGCAGCTGTCCGAGTGGCTGGTCTCAGGCGATCCTGGAGGTGAGCATGCTGTATGTGAAGGTCCTGGGCTGTTGTGCGGTTGTGAGGCCTGTTGGATGTAATGCCAAATTCTCTGAAATGCCTTTGGAGACGGCGTATGGTAGAGAAATTAACATTTATTTCATGGGCAACAGCTATGGGGTGATTCAAACCACCCTCGACACTTCAATTTTCAGGCGCTTTCCAGAAGCAGCTCGCCACGCCACTAAAGATAGGATCGGGTTCTATTTTTGCCATGAGCCGTTTCTGGGACATGTCAATTTCCACAGTTAACATAGGGCTAGACAGGAAATCACACACAGTTTCAGTGTAAAATCTCTGTTAATTTTCTAAATAAAAGTATTGCAGTGATGTGATTTCATGAATGTGTTGCTTACATTGTGGGCGACGGTGGCACAGGAGTTAAGTGCTCACCCCGTAATCGGAAGGTTGCAGGTTTGACCCCCTCCCAGTCTGTCGCTGTCGTTGTGTCCTTGGGCAAGACACTTAACCCACGTTGCCTGCTGGTGGTGGTCAGAGGGACCGGTGGTGCCAGTGCTCGGCAGCCTCGCCTCTGTCAGTGCGCCCCAGGGCAGCTGTGGCTACATCGTAGCTCATCACCACCAGCATGTGAATGTGTGTGTGAATGGATGAATGACTGATTGTGTTGTAAAGCACCTTGGGGGGTTCCAGTACTCTAGAAGGTGCTATATCAAATACAGGCCATTTACCATTTACGTGTGACTTAACAGCTTATTTACTCCCAGCATTGCTACATAAGTGCAGTGCGGTGTTTTCATGGCTTTAAAGAGCCAATGTGTAGTTTTTACCATTAATTTCTGGAAATATCCATCAAAATGTTGCTGAAAATGAATGAAGTGATGCCCAGTTGTTGAGAAATATTAGCAGCTTCGTACAGGGGCGCAGATAGGATTTTCAAACTGGGGGGGACAAAGTTCCAATGTACCCCACCCCCCACCACACACACACACACACACACACACACACACACGCACGTACACATACACAAACTATTGCAAGCACCTTAACTAGAGCTCAGTCAGTTTGTGTAATTTCATCCAATGGTTTACGTAACAACTAACACCATTATATACGTGTTTGAAGCCATTATGCAGTAGAACGCTGGCAACAAAGCTCTGCTTGATCAACACTATAAATGATAAATGATCCGCACTTTTATAGCGCCTCTCAGAGTTAGGACTCCAAAGCGCTTTACACTACAATGTATCATTCATCCATTCACACACATTCACACACTGATCTTGATGAGCTACGATGTAGCCACAGCTGCCCTGCCCACAGTAAGTCCCAACACTGACAACAACGTACTTAAACTAGAACCAACATGCATAAACAGATCGATCTCGCCTGCTTACACTGTTGGTCTTTTTTAAATACGCAGTAATCGTTGCTTGCCTTTTTCGCCTCATCCTGCATCCTAGCAGCAACCACTTTGGCGCCTCTGGAGTCGGTGTTTGTTTACGTCATGCTGCATTCAATGTAATTGGAAAAAGGAGCTTCAAGCGCTTAACCTCCGATTTTGTTTTCTTTCTGGCCTTAAGCCTGGTTCATGCTTTTCCGTCAGCTCCGCAAGGGACAGACATGCACAGAGTGACGGAAGCGTTTTGCTCTCATGCTTCTCCGTCTCCTGGAGAGTGTTGCAAAGCAATTGCCCGGCAGGACAACAGAGGGTGTAGCGCTGTTCTGTGGTATCCTGTCATGTATCCGGTCCAAGATAGTGTGTTTATATTATGTTTTTTGTATATAAGAGACTTTTTTAACTTAGACAAATTTGTCTCTCATCCTCCTCCACCTCTTCATGCGCTCGCCACCTCTAAACCCACGTTTCCGGTCATTTCCGTCCACAAATAAAATGCTTGCTGCGCATCTTTTCACTCCTCCAGTCACGGGAGAATTAAATGTTCATGTTTTTAGTTTGTTCGCGAGGTATTCTTCCAGCTTCTCCGTGTCTGCCGCTTGTTATCCTCGGCTCTCTTTATGTTTTTGAAGGCGCAATGCCGGCGCTGTAGACAACAGCGGCGTCCTGACCAATCACAAGCTTGCGTTGTCCCTCTCGACTGACAGATGTTTAGAAAAGAGAGCTCGACTCCGTCCGTCCTTGCGGAGCTCTCCGGCAGGCCCGCAAGGACGTTACGTGTCTCCGCACTGACGCAGACGGAGAAGCATGAATCAGGCATTAGTTGGGGGGGACGAATCGGGGTCGATCTGAATCTGGGGGGGCAGATCCCCCCCCGTCCCCCACCCTATCTGCGCCCCTGTGTCAGAGGGACCGGTGGTGGGAGTGGGTCTAAGTCTCTGGGCGACTCCATATTAGATGCCATGTTTCCGTCTACAGGAGCCCATGAGGACAAAATGCATTTACTGATTTGTAACAAACGGTTATAAAACTTTCACCCTTTTTAAATGTTGTTGTTTTACACGTTTACCTCTTCATTCATTGTCAGTGATGAAAGGGAGTCTGAGTCTTCTTCTCTTCTGGCACTCGAGGAGTACAGACGCTTCCCTCTTTCGCTCCCTTATCTTTTTTTCCCAAGGCTCTTTGTCCAGTCTGCCCACAGAGTGCTTCTCTGCATTTCTTCTGAAAAACTTTTTTTTTACTAACCATAGATTTGATAAACTGGTCATTCAATGCGATCGATAAGATTTTTTCAACAATGAGAAATGAGCAGGGGGCTCCCACATGTCCACAGGGGACACACCTGGTGGGAAAATGGATGTCATCTCGGAGAGAGTCACCGGATGGTATGGACAAATTTAAAACCCAAAATTGGCTTCACTGAAGGACTGGAAATGATCAGTTTAAAGACTGAAGGCAGAGAGGAAAATTATCTCAGCCTGACCCAAACAAATTCTTGTTATCTGAATCTGATGCCCTGGTAGCCTTGAGCTGCAAGCAACTAAAGCCCCCACGAAGGAATGCAGACAGAAGCTGTGAAATTCCATTAAATAAATGTATCAAGCCTCCCACGGGTTGACCCATCTGCTTCTCTAAATCCTCCTCCAAACATGCAAACGACCGAATTGTAGGCCAAATGCCTTGTTTCTTGCCACACTCTACCGTGATGCAATGTAACACTAGCCTCTTTAATAAAGGTGCTTTCTTAAGACACACAATGCCGGCAAATCGGCGTAATATTACCACAATGGTATGTCTATAAACACGCCATGCCGGCATGGCGTTGCGCGAATATAGCGACCTCCCTATATCCCGTCTTGGTTTGAGAGGTGTCTGATGGCAGTTTGTTCGAGCTTCAGCTTTGCTACTATAAATGCCAAAATCCTCCCCAGGGAGCCGCGGCAAGTCCCGTTTTGCAAATGCTATGGTCCTGTAAAAATAGCTATGACATCACAAAAGATCCTCCTTTTAACTTAGTGGCAGGAAGAAGGTCTGACAAATTTCTAATTTATCTCAATGTGTCACTTGTCAGTCTCATCTCCAGGCCAGCTCCAAAACAGGGTCCAGAGTGTAGGAAATTTTGCCTCATTGTCACGTCAACCACTGAAGGCCACTGCCTACGTCAGTCCCACCATAAAGGGCTCGACCTCCACCAGCCTCCAGAGTCTGAACAACGTCAGCAGCAGCAGTGGGATACCCCTGCTCAATAAGCCTACAGCCGGAGGGACTTCCTCCAATCCCACCACGCCACGCAGCAGCCTGCCACGCCCTGCCTCCTTTGTGGGCACCACAAGCTCCAGCCCCCGCAGCAAGGTGGCCCAATCAGCACGAAGGTAAACGCATCAGAGATCAGAAACTTTTCCTCTCTGAATTAACAGAAGAATGAAAAAAATAAAACGTGTGTGCTTATTTTCAGTTTATTAATGCCTCCAAAGAGCTTGTCCACCTTCAGTGCCCTTCGTGACAGCGCCTGGAAAGATGGCTGCTACTGATGGACGTGGCAGCAGCAAGACCCTGCTGGTTGGGGTGACTCGCTGCACAACAGCTAGGTTGTTGTTTTTTTGTTTGTTTTTTTTTACCAAAAAGGGACTGAGACGACCTTAAATCTGAGATCCTGCATTTTAATGTTAAGGATTTCTTCGGAGAAGGCGGGTAATTTATTTATTTATTGTCTGCAAACAACGGCTTCACAACCGGTGATTATGTGCCAAAAGGTGAGCCGACTCCAGTTGTGCAATAACCTGTTGGCTGTTGGTTACCTGTAATATAAACCGGCACACAGGGCTGCCAGTTTTTAATGAAGTCAATCACTTTTACAGTTTTTATCTACTAATCAGGTGTGTAGCTGTGGTAACGAGCACTGCTGATGCTGCTAAAGTTTCCTCTTAATTTGGGCACATTTTAATCTTTTTTTCTATCTAATATTTCTGTACAAATTTCACTGTGCATATATCTTTGTACTAACCAATGCAATACTTTTTTTTTTTTACTGACCTAAATGGGAATATCGTAATGTTTTTGGGGAGGAAGTTGTTTCACTTTTTGTCACCAGATTTTGAGCGTGCTAACACAAACTTCTTGCACTTTGTCGAAATGCCACTGTTTTGGTTTTGTTAACTCGTGTGCACTTCTTTCACGATACTCTGCATTTATTGAGTACAGCAATTAATTTATGTTTTTCAAGGGATGGTCTTCACAATTGTGCATATTTTCGTGTTTCGTTTACCCTGAATCTTATTTTTGTTTTTCATGCACTAAGGAGGCACATCCTTCCCTAGCTTGGTCTTTTTTTTTTTTTTTTTTTTTTTTTTTCTGTGATGAAATGAGAAGCATTTTAATAAAAACTTAATAAATTCTGTGTATATGCTTTGTTATTCTGAATGTATATTTGTAATAAAGTTGTTTCAGGTGCCATCTAGTGGTCAGTTTTTGATTTTATGTAACCCAGGGGTGCTCCACCTGTTATGCTCAAGTCTGTTAATCACGAATGGGATTATTATTAGTGAAAAAAGAGAATTTTTGTTTCTTTCTAGGAGTGAAATGATGACCTTTCATTTAAAAAGAGGGTAGAGTGTAAGCTGAGATTTTTATGAACAAAGACAAAAATGCTGTGAATATGTATTAAAGCTGCTTTCCGGAGTTTTCCTCTTTCAGAAAGTATTTATGATTTGTCAGAAATCCGTAAAAGTGATTATCTTATCGTGTACTGTGATAAAATGTAAGCAATACGTCTTTTTTTTTTTTTTTTTTTCTAAACACGCCCCCTCCCTGCAGGCACTAGATGGTGCCATAGGATAAGAGAGAGATACTCTGGAAAGAAGCTTTAAAATCAGTTTTTTTTCCACATGAACAATATTTTCTATAGAAGTCACATGCATTAGGTGGAGTGATGCATCCAGAAAATGGGTTGTTCATTTCTTTGTTGGGGCGATGGTGCTCGCCCCATAATCGGAAGGTTGCAGGTTTGAGCCCTGCTCAGCCTATTGCAATCCTTGTGTCCTTGGGCAAGACACTGGTGCTCGGAGGGTGGCGCCTGTGTACAGCAGACCCGCCACTGCTAATGTGCCCCAGGGCTGCTGTGGCTACAATGTTGTGACCACATTTGATACAGTGCCTTCTAGAGTCTTGGAACCCCCCAAAGTACTTTACAACACAATAAACCTGTCTATTGTTATTTAACGCACACAAACTGCTTTGATTCCCCCTCCTCTGTAGAATAGTTTCTATGCATTAAATTTTAACAGGTACAGCTTATAACTCTCCCATATTCCAGTCAGAGTTGGCAAAGCGTCTTCAAGACACCAAATAAGTTCAGTTGCCATCATATGAACCCTTTTGGCTTACCATGACCTGGATGACTGAGAACCTTCACCAGATGTGTTAGTTTAGAAAATATATGAAAAACTTTTTTATAAAAATTAAAAACATTTACATTTATGTCAGAACCAGTTAGAAACCACACAGCAAGAACATAACAAAGATGTTCCTCAGATGTTATCCAAGATGTTCAGAAAAACCTACTATCCCAATGTAGCTAGAAGATCTGATGCTGTTTTGAAGCCAAACAGTAATGATTTAGATTTCTCTTTTCTTCATTTACTGTTTTTTTTTGACTGATGAAAATAAACTGTGGCTGTTTTTTCCACACCTGCCTAAAATCTTTGCACATACTGTTAGCAACTATAACTCCCCAAATTCTATGAAATATGGCACCTTTTTGGAAGGGCGACTACACAAATGACCTTTCAATGTCATGCATCTACAAATACAGATCATTTTCTGCGAAGAAATAAAAATACACACACAGACACACCCTGCAAGTAATGTTTTCCTAGTCATATTTGACCCAAATCTGGAAACATTTTTGACTACACAGCAACAATGTTTTTTTTTTATCAGAATACCATTAATTTATCTCCATTAAACTTGATTTGCATTAAACTCCTTAACATTGTTTAGTAGCAGAAAATGGATTTTCCACACTGAAACATTAGTCAGACAAACATGGCGACCAATCAGAAGTTTTTACGTCATCCAGTTGCGTCTCTCTTTCACCCCTCCTCCCCTCCAATGAGCTAGCTAGCTGTACCGTGGCTGCTGTGAACCTACATTTTATATTGTTGGTGTATGGTTTTTAAAAGCAACAGGGCACAAAAAGGTAAGAGTCATTATTAACGACTGAGATGACAGCTTCGGAAGGTCATTAAGGCTTTGCTAACACTCAATTATGTAACCTACAAATGCTAACACAATCGTGAAACGTTAGCTTGCTAGCTAGCACAGCTGTCTGAAGCCTTATGTGAACTTTATATCTCACACGTCGAAACGGGAACATTGGGGTTTGAAGTGAAAACAAGCGCTCTCAGTGGCATGAAATAAAAGTTAATCATGCCCGTGAAACGCTACACATGCTGCATTAGCATGGCTTGTGTTGAATGAAACAGCTGCACGAGCGCTTCTGCTACAAACACATTTCCATGCTTTTGTTTAAAGTGTTTTTTCTTTTCCGTAAAATAAATGTGGAATCAGAGCGTTTGAACAGGTTTTAAATTACACAAATCTTTGAAACGCGCTAATAGCAAACTACTACGTTTTGGAAGAAATGTCGATTAACGTCTGGAATTTTTCATTGTAGAATGAGAATTGGGTCTTCTGACGAGCGCTTTTTAAATACTTGCATATCCCGTTCAGAAATTCCTCTTATATTTACGTTTTGTAGCTGCTGAAGAAATTGTGGCCTTTGGGAAGTAGGACCTTCAAGGGATGTCGTTTGCTTTACTTGTGTCCATTTATAATGTTGAACAAATAAAATGTTGTAAAGTGTCTATAACAGCCAGTGATTTGGGGTAAAGACTAAAGGTTTGTGTTCTTGCTTTTAGACATCCTCCATGGCTTCTCGAGAAGGTCCGAGAGCAACAGGAACAGATGGCAGTGACTTTCAGCACAGGGAGCGAGTTGCTTCCCACTACCAGATGAGGTTTAATTTAACAGTACATAAAAATAAGACATCCGTGTAATGTATTGTTTGGAGCTCTGACATTTACTTATTTCAGTGTCGCCTTGAAGTCTGAAATCCGCAAACTCAACATTGTCCACCTGCTGATCTGGGTTCTGTTGGCTGCTCAGGTGAGTGTTGATGTTTTGCGCTGTTAAATTATCTACATTTTATTCACATTTTAACCTTCAAATGAATCCGTTTCAGGTGACAGTGAGCCAACTGAGCCTCGTGTCCCACAAAGTGGTGGCCACCCCATACCAGTGGGAATACCCGTACCTCCTGAGCATCATTCCCACAGTCTTCAGCTTCCTGGCATTGCCTCGGAACAACATCAGCTACCTTGTCATCTCCATGATCAGCGCTGGGCTCTTCTGCATTGCGCCGCTCATCTATGGAGGCATGGAGATGTTTCCCGTGGCTCAGCAGCTGTACCGCCACGGCAAAGCTTATCGCTTCATTTTTGGCTTCTCCGCCGTGTCGGTTATGTACCTTATCATCATCATCGCTGTGCAGGTGCATGGCTGGCAGATCTACTACAGCAAGAAGCTGCTGGACCAGTGGTTCACCACCACACAGGAGAAGAAGAAGAAATGAACCCTGAATTAAATACCTCCCATCAGTTTGGACGAAAACCAGCAAATGGAAGAGACTCAAAGGAGCTTTTTCTATATTTATATAGAATTAAATGTTTGGAGAAAGGAAAATCAGACCTTGAATATCCTGTAATTGTTGCCTTCATTGTGTTCCTGTCATTTCATTAACACACTAACTCAGTTTCAGCCTCGTTAATTTGTAGCCAAAAAAAAGGGAAATAACTTATTCAACTTATCTTTAATGTGCAAAAATAACCATGACCATCAGCATACATCACCCAACACACATTTCACATAATCAAGGTAAACTATCCCACCACCTCACACAAAAACGGATTAGATAACCCTTTATTTGGATTCAAGATGGCCATTTTTAAATTATAGTTACATACAAAATTAATCTTTTCTATGATGAAGCATCAAATGAAAATAATCCCACATCCTGTTGCAGAGATAAAACCTGTCAGTAATAGTTTTCAATTCCTAAAAATCAACACAAAAATAGATTGATAAAAGTCTGTAACATGAAGCAGGTTCAAATATCCAAGTTTAAACCAGAAAGTAGTATCGTCATTTAAAATCTGGTATTTAAAACTATACTTTATGTAATACTATAACAACCAAATAAAACAAATTTGTAAACTTGTGACTTCTGATAACAGATGACACCTTTAAATAATTCCACTTAGCTTTTCCTGAAAGGAACTTTTTTTCTGACATTTAAATTCAATAATCCATCCATCCATTTTCATCCGCTTATCCGGAGACGGGTCGCGGGGCAGCAGCCTAAGGCGAGAGGCCCAGACTTCCCTCTCCCCAGCCACTTGGGCCAGCTCCTCCGGGGGAATCCCAAGGCATTCCCTGGCCAGGTGAGAGACATAGTCCCTCCACCGTGTCCTGGGTCTACCTTTAGGTCTCCTCCAGTTGGACATGCCCGGAAAACCTCACCAGGGAGGCGTCCAGGAGGCATCCTGACCAGATGCCAAAGCCACCTCAACTGGCTCCTCTCAATGTGGAGGAGCAGCGGGTCTACTCCGAGCCCCTCCCGGATGACCAAGCTTCTCACCCTATCTCTAAGGGAGAGCCCAGCCACTCTACGGAGGAAACTCATTTCGGCCGCTTGTATCCGCAATCTCGTTCTTTCGGTCACTACCCAAAGCTCATGACCATAGGTGAGGATTGGGACGTAGATCGACCGGTAAATCGAGAGCTTCTAATTTGTAGTCATTTTATTTATGATTTTTCACAAGCTAATAAATCTCACCGTAGACAGTCGAAACTCAATTTCTTTTCGCTTAAATTCAAGTACAACATATATGTGATTCAGGGCGTAAGGCAAAACGGATTAGAAAATAGCTTTCAGTAGCTCCTTTCACTTGCATTTATTTTTTTATTGTTCTGGGGACCCACGAGCTGACTGGAAGAGAACTCCCCATACTGTTACGAACCCGGTAAATAAAACCAGTTAAACCCAAAACTTACATCACCGTCCTCCTCCTTCCTGCTTCGTATCACAGAGCCCATAAAATAAAGACTTTATATACACATTACTTAGTAATGAACCAATGTAAATGTTTCATAGAAACAACCGGCATCTGCCTTGTTGGGGCAAATAGTATCTTTAAAGATCTGACTGTCTGACTGACAGTGTTCTGAAAACTTTACTTAAACATGAGTATCTTTCCTCTTCAGGATCTGACGCACCTGAAAAACAGAGGGGAAGACAAGCTTGTTAGAAAACTTTCCAGATATTTTCCTGCTCCATTAACAAAAACCTGCGACACAAGCTTTTCTTCTTTTATCTCAGTCAGGCGATTCGACCCACCCTCCACCCTCGTTCCTATTCACACTTCCTTTCCACCACTTTACCCGATTTCTCGTGTTACGGCTCAAATGTTTCCTCAATAAAATACTAAACACAAAAAAACTCCATTAACATGAAAGATAATGTGACCAGAAGGAAAAACCTTTTCGCCCACGGGGCCTTCGGGCACCAGCTGACACGGAAGCTCATTTTCATAATTCCTCGCCCCCGGATCGGCACCTTTCCTCATCAGCAGCTTCACGGATTCCACTTGAGTTCTGAAGTTTTGCAGGGAGCTGGCGATGTGCAGCGCAGTGTTCCCGCTGAACGACTGAAACAAGAACAGCTGCTTTCAAAACAAAATAAACAGCCCAGCAAGCGAACGGGAAATAATTTCAACTGAAATTCCAAGATTGTCAGAATATAACATAAAAACTAGGATTTCCTCCGGTGTTGAAAAGTTTTGAATTAGTAAAATAAAATAAGTTTCAGTGTAAAATTGTAAATTCAATCAAAATTTTCCAGATAAAAGTCAGAAAAAAAAATGTTCAAAAAGATTGTTCAAATTCTCTTTAAAAGAGGCTACATTTATCAGATTCAAGTAATTATCTAATTATTGAGGTTTGAATCTCAGAAAATCGTTAAAAAAATTTGACTTTAATTTCAGAAAATGTGTTGTCAAAGTTATTTCCAATAAAACTCCATGTTATTTGTTTACTGAATAAAAAAAATTTTGCAACTTTTTTCCCATGCTAATTTATGAATTTGAATTTTCAGAAAATGGGGTTTATTTCCTGAAAATGTCTTAAATTTTATTGTAGAATCCCAACTTTTTGTTACTTTTAAATTTATTGACAAATGAAACCATGGTGTGTTTTGCATAGATTTATGCCTCAAATCATAAAAAAAAAAAATAAATAAATACATTTTTTTGTTCACTAAATTGAGACTTATTGGAAATATAATGCCTAGAAATCTAGACAGACCATAACAGAAGGCAAAATTATTTGGCTTTGCAGGTTGGTCTAGCCATGCTCCACTGGAGCCTCAGCAGAACCGAACGGTCTTCTGTCTTGCCAATTACAGCGCTCTATCGGTTTGGTGATAATGCAAATAATCAAAGCAACAAAGATGGCAGCAGCTCATTTGAAACGACTTTTGCATCAGCTTTGGACTATTTAGACTTGGGTTTTCCTTTTTCATGAGCAGACACAGGTTTTTTAAGTTATTTAGAAAAAGGTTATATTTATTTTTTTCGACAGTGTATGGTGTACTGCCCCGTTGGCTGACATCCGTAGCAGTGAGTATATCACATTGTTCATTGTCCAATAGCATGCAGAGACAGTTTAAAAGACAACCACAGATTCTGCCCATGATTGAGCACTGATTATGGGTTGTGACCAGACTATTTATTCACATAGGAGGGCTTGCCAGGCAACTAAACTGATAACATTTCCTCTCAGAAATTTTAGAAAATCTTAATTTTACTTTTTATAGCTGTTATTTCTCTTTCCAACCACCCTGAAACTATACATCTTTTGAACCCATTAAAGGGGAAAAAATTAATAAAAATAAGAGACTAACCTTAGCGTTGATAAAAGCCAGTGATGTTGGCTGTTCAAGAAAGATGCTGAGCAGCTCCAGATTAGCCTCATCAGAAGCCATGTGAAGACAAGTCCGTCCACTTTTTAGGTCCTTGTGGTACAAAAACAAACAAATTGTGATATTTGCATCCGCCAGAAATAATAGTCCAAAGATATAGGGAGCCTAAGTCTCCACCCCTTCCAGTCGGCTCATGGGTACCCGGAAGAACGAAAAAATGAATGTAAGTCAACGGGGCTAAAAGAGCTATTCTCTTCTAATAGCTTACGCCCTGGATCGCACATGTTAATTTTAAATGAAAACTAATGATGGGTATTTCAACCACACCAGTCACATACTTTGAGATTTATCTAGCCTAGTGAACTAGACCAAATTCTTGCTTTGCAAAGTTTGGTCTAGGCACGCTCCATTGGAACCTCCGCAGCTCCTACCAGGACTCTGGCTGGCCAATCACAGCTCTCTAGAGGGGTTTCAAACACATAAAGAGCTGTGATTGGTCCATAATGGTGGGCCAGTCATAGTGCTCTATCTGCTTAGTGAACAAATCACAGAGCTTTATCTGCTTTGTGGGCCAATCAGGGCACTCTATATGCCTGGTGGGTGGGATGATGCAACAGAGTGAAACAAGAGTATGTCACATTCATTGTCCTGTAGAATGCGGAGATCATTTGAAAGACAAATATAGAACCCGCCCCACAACCGAGAGCTGTCAATGGAGCGTTGCCAGACTAAATAATACATTTATTTAGTCTGGCTTGCCAGGCTAAGATTTATCAGCTTGTAAAAGTTCATATTAGCATGACTACAAATCAGACGTCGGCATATCGCATAATGGCGTCACCACAGAATCAATTCTCTCCTAGCATAGCTGCTACTTGCCAAATGGCCATACTTATGGTAGTTCTTTCCTTCTGAAGGAAGGATTTGAAGTTTGCTGAACTTACAGCCATTTTACCTTTGTTTTTCTCTGTCTGGTTCGATGACGTCACTTTCGTGAAGCGCATTTGTAGTCCTGGACTTTTTTCCCCCCACACAAAACCTAAAATAACATTTCCTCCTGTTCAAAAATAGGTGTGTTCTATGTATCAATATGTTTCGTTAAAATTCACGAACATCATATGTGAATCCATGGCACATAATAAGCGGAATTAGAAAATAGCCTTTTTAGCTCCATTGACTTAAATTAATTTCTTAATTTACGTATTAACTTTTTGTTCTTCCGGGGACCCGTGGTCCGGAAGTAGATGGGCGTGACTTAGGCTCCCTATTTGGCTAATGCGCGTTTCTGTGTTAAATGTAGTTGTAATGAATGACCCGCACTTGTATAGCGCCTCTCACAGTAAGGACTCCAAAGCGCTTTACACTACAGTGTATCATTCATCCATTCACACACACATTCACACACTGGTGGGGATGAGCTACGATGTAGCCACAGCTGCCCTGGGGCGCGCTGACAGAGGCGAGGCTGCCGAGCACAGGCGCCACCGGTCCCTCAGACCACCACCAGCAGGCAAGGTGGGTTAAGTGTCTTGCCCAAGGACACAACAGCAGAATTCTCTGTCCGGAGCAGGGATCGAACCTGCAACCTTCCGATTACTGGACAACCCACTCAACCTGTTGAGCTACTGCTGCCCAAAAGGTAGTAATTACCTTTGTCCCATAGGAGGCGCCCATCTGCATCAGGATCTTGATAATTTTCACATATGTGAACCTCTTGTTAGTCAGTTCTGACTTCATGTATGAACAGGGGTTCTCCATGCTCCTCATCTCTCTGATGACAGCATTGTGGGACAAGACTGCCACATGAAGCGGAGTCAAACCTTTGAAAAAAGAAAACCTGAATTAAATCGATAAAATATTCTAGATCAGGATCAAAACGAGAGGAAAAACTCACCATCATAGTTAAACATTTCAACATCAGCTGAGAGGCCACTTCCTGTAAGGGTTCTGTAGATGCTCTAAATGTGAGGGGAAAATAGGGTTGTTTTTAACCACGTTTACAAGAAAAGACAAAGGTCTTCATCACAGAAATAATTAATCTGCAATAACAGACTTTGTACTGGGTAAGCGGTTACTAATTAACAGGTCAGATAAGCAGGTGGCAGCACTGTTTTCCCACAGGTGTTCTGACTTGGTCTCAACATCAAGAGATTTAAGGTTTAAACAAATGATGACATGAGCAGATGTCAGACCAAATCAACTCATGCAGGGACAAAAATAGATGTTTGACTTCTAGCTTGTGATTCATGGATCTTAATAATCAAAATTAAAGTAATCTTTTTAGGAAGAGCGACATGAATAAACTTACAAAAGGACTGATGCGCTAACAGCTAGTATGACAGCAACCAACAGTATTAATGCCGTCTTAAATAAATGCACCAATGTTTTGAACTACCTGGTGATAGGGCTGGGCGATATATCGATATTTTTAATATATCGATATTTTTAAACAAGATATAAGATGACTTTATATTGATATAACTGGTCAAACTGCTATGCTAGCAATTAGCCACTATGCTAGCGACATGGTGCTCCATCTCTAAGCAGCTATTACGTGTATTCTTACAAGTTTGCTCAATCTGAGAGCCTCTGGGTAAATGTGCTGCTCTAAACGTTGCATCTGGCATCCTGGTTTTTAATTATTTGGGCACGTTCAATGTCAACAAAGTTCTGTTTTACCATCCTGTGTGTGCGGAGCCAGAGAGACGAGCCAAACTCCTCCCTCCCGTGTAATCGGGAAACAACTACGGATAGCCGGAGTGGTCAAATTACCTCAAACGTATTGTAAGGGTTTGAATAGTAAACTACAGGTTTACAGTTTTATTTTGATGGCGAGCTCAACAGGAGAGAAATGTTGTTCCAGTTTTTTCCGCTCTGGTTTGCTATGCTAGTAAATACTCCGTTACGAGCGATTCTGTCGACAAAGTTAAGAGTTTGTAAGGCGTGTGTTACGGCGACAGTAGCCCGAAAATAATACTCATAAAAGAGCAACCAGAGACTCTGAGTCATTACCGTATAATCGCTGATATGAGTCAATACTGTTAGACTCCAGCCATGTTGGCCCTAATAACTCCATGGTGCATGACCCATTAACCTTCAGTAGATGCAATTGTCGTCGTCGTCGTCTTCCTCCGCTTATCCGGGTCCGGGTCGCGGGGGCAGCATCCCAACTAGGGAGCTCCAGGCCGTCCTCTCCCCGGCCTTGTCCACCAGCTCCTCCGGCAGGACCCCAAGGCGTTCCCGGACCAGATTGGAGATGTAACCTCTCCAACGTGTCCTGGGTCGACCCGGGGGCCTTCTGCCGGCAGGACATGCCCGAAACACCTCCCCGGGGAGGCGTCCAGGAGGCATCCTGACCAGATGCCCAAACCACCTCAACTGGCTCCTTTCGATCCGGAGGAGCAGCGGTTCTACTCCGAGTCCCTCCTGAATGTCCGAGCTCCTCACCCTATCTCTAAGGCTGAGCCCGGCCACCCTACGGAGGAAACTCATTTCGGCCGCTTGTATCCGCGATCTCGTTCTTTCGGTCATTACCCAAAGCTCATGACCATAGGTGAGGATTGGGATGTAGATCGACCGGTAAATCGAGAGCCTGGCTTTCTGGCTCAGCTCCCTCTTCCCCACGACAGATCGGCTCAGCGTCCGCAACACTGCAGACGCCGAGCCAATCCGCCTGTCGATCTCCCGATCCCTCCTACCCTCACTCGTGAACAAGACCCCGAGATACTTAAACTCCTCCACTTGAGGTAGGACCTCTCCCCCGACCCGGAGGTGGCAAGCCACCCTTTTCCGGTCGAGAACCATGGTCTCAGATTTGGAGGCGCTGATCCTCATCCCAGCCGCTTCACATTCGGCCGCAAACCTCCCCAGCAAGAGCTGAAGGTCAGAGCTGGATGAAGCTAGGAGGACCACATCATCCGCAAAAAGCAGAGACGAGATTCTCCTGCCACCAAACTCGACACACTCCACACCACGGCTGCGTCTAGAAATTCTGTCCATAAAAGTGATGAACAGAACCGGTGACAAAGGGCAGCCCTGGCGGAGTCCAACCCTCACTGGGAACAGGTCCGACTTACTACCGGCTATGCGGACCAAACTCACGCTCCTCTGGTAAAGGGACTGAATGGCCCTTAACAGAAAGCCACCCACCCCATACTCCTGGAGCGTCCCCCACAGGGTGCCCCTGGGGACACGGTCATAAGCCTTCTCCAAATCCACAAAGCACATGTGGATTGGTTGGGCAAACTCCCATGCCCCCTCCATCACCCTTGCAAGGGTATAGAGCTGGTCCACAGTTCCACGGCCAGGACGAAAACCACATTGTTCCTCCTCTATCTGAGATTCAACTATCGATCGGACCCTCCTCTCCAGTACCTTGGAGTAGACCTTTCCAGGGAGGCTGAGGAGTGTGATCCCCCTATAGTTGGAACACACCCTCAGGTCACCCTTCTTAAAGATGGGGACCACCACCCCGGTCTGCCACTCCCTAGGAACTGCCCCCGATGACCACGCAATGTTGTAGAGACGTGTCAACCATGACAGCCCTACAACATCCATAGCCTTGAGATACCCAGGATGAACCTCATCCGCCCCCGGGGCTCCGCCGCTGTGTAGTTGTTTGATTACCTCAGCAACTTCTGCCCCCGAGATCGGACAGTCCATCCCCAGGCCTCCCAGCTCTGGTTCCTCCTTGGAATGCGCATTGGTGGGATTGAGGAGCTCCTCAAAGTATTCCTTCCACCGTCCGACTATAGCCTCAGTTGACGTCAGCAGCTCCCCATCCCCACTGTAAACAGTGTGAGCGAGTTGCTGCCTTCCTCTCCTGAGGCGCCGGACAGTTTGCCAGAACCTCTTTGGAGCCGATCGATAGTCTTTCTCCATGGCCTCACCAAACTCCTCCCACGCCCGAGATTTTGCCTCGGCAACTGCCACTGCTGCACTCCGCTTGGCTATCCGGTACCTGTCTGCTGGGATTGAGGAGCTCCTCAAAGTATTCCTTCCACCGTCCGACTATAGCCTCAGTTGACGTCAGCAGCTCCCCATCCCCACTGTAAACAGTGTGAGCGAGTTGCTGCCTTCCTCTCCTGAGGCGCCGGACAGTTTGCCAGAACCTCTTTGGAGCCGATCGATAGTCTTTCTCCATGGCTTCACCAAACTCCTCCCACGCCCGAGATTTTGCCTCGGCAACTGCCACTGCTGCACTCCGCTTGGCTATCCGGTACCTGTCTGCTGCCTCCGGAGACCCACAGACCAGCCACGCACTGTAGGCCTCCTTCTTCAGCCTGACGGCTCCCCGAACCTCTGGTGTCCACCAGCGGGTACGGGGGTTGCCACCACGACTGGCACCGGCCACCTTACGACCACAGCTAGCAACAGCCGCCTCGACAATCGCAGAGTGGAACAAGGCCCACTCGGACTCAATGTCCCCCACTGCTCTCGGGACGTGGTCAAAGCTCTGCCGGAGGTGGGAGTTGAAGACCGTCTTGACAGGTTCTTCTGCCAGGCGTTCCCAGCAGACCCTCACTATGCGTTTGGGTCTGCCAGGTCTACGCGGCATGTTCCCTTGCCATCTGATCCAACTCACCACCAGGTGGTGATCAGTTGACAGCTCCGCCCCTCTCTTCACTCGGGTGTCCAAAACATACGGCCGCAGGTCAGATGATACGACTACAAAATCTATCATCGACCTGTGACCTAGGCTGCCCTGGTACCAAGTGTACCGGTGGGCATCCTTATGTTCGAACATGGTGTTCGTTATGGCCAAACTGCGGCTTGCACAGAAGTCCAATAACAAAACACCGCTCGAGTTCAGATTAGGTGGGCCGTTCCTCCCAATCACACCCCTCCAGGTCAAGCTGTCATTGCCCACGTGAGCATTGAAGTCCCCCAGCAGGACAATGGAGTCCCCTGATGGAGCACTATCTAGCACTCGTCCCAGGGACTCCAAAAAGGGTGGGTACTCTGAACTGATATTTGGCCCATAAGCACAAACAACAGTCAGGACCCGTTCCCCGACCCGAAGGCGCAAGGAAGCTACCCTCTTGTCCCCCGGGGTAAACCCCAACACACAGGCAGAGAGTCTCGGGGCTAACAAAAAGCCAACCCCAGCCCTCCGCCTCTCACCCGGAGCAACTCCAGCAAAGTAGAGTGTCCAACCCCTCTCCAGGTCTCGGGTTCCAGAGCCAATGCAATGTGTCGAGGTGAGTCCGACTATATCTAGCCGGTAGATGCAATTACATCATAAATTTAGCTTAACATGATTTTTTTTTCTCTGGACAAGAACTATATGACATGGCCCACCTCTAGATGACATTTAAATAATTTTACTTTAATTATAAATATATAATTAAAAAGTGCCTGTGGGGCATTTGATACACCTCTAGCTCTCAACTGTGTGTGTGTGTGTGTGTGTGTGTGTGTGTGTGTGTGTGTGTGTGTGTGTGTGTGTGTGTGTGTGTGTGTGTGTGTGTGTGTGTGTGTGTGTGTGTGTGTGTGTGTGTGTGTGTGTGTAACAGGAGGAAAAATATTGAGATATATATCATATCGGAATTCAGCTAAAAAGATATTGAGATATAAGTTTTGGTCCATATCGCCCAGCCCTACCTGGAATAGTATGAATGCTGTTTATGGTCTTTTTTAGACTATATAGTTATTTCTAAAAAAAATTTGGATATTTATTAGCATTAAATCATGCGGGGGGTAGCACTCGATTTTGGTTTTAGCTGTGTTTGGATTAGCTATTAGCCTACCAGTCCTTTAGGATGTAAATGAGTTGAAATCCAGTTTGGATAAACTCAAGCCTAAACCTTTTCTGCTGCCACCTTATAAAATAAAGAAAAAAAAACTATCCTCTGTAATAAATGCAGATATTATTTTGAAAACCTTTACACTAAAATCACTAGGGATGTGTATTGGTAAAATTCTGACGATACGATACTGTCAGAAAGGGTTATAGTTATGGCAGTTTTACAAGATCCATTTGGAAAGTTACCCCACTCTTATTTTGGTGGTCCAGTTTGTGACATCACTTCCTCTAGATAGTCACTTCCTGTAAAGCCGTTTCTACCATTTTGTCCAAGTTGTTGGTGATGGCAGACAGCCTCATGTGCGTTCATGACTGATATACCACACGGAACCACAGAAATGTACAGATGTCCATACTTCAACTGTCATTAAATACGTAAAACTGTCTCTCCGTGCCCTGCTCTCTGACCGGAGCCCTTATCTTGAAGATACTGTCAGATCAGCAAATAACTTCCAGAGTTCCCACTCTATCACAGATACATATCACGATACAGGGGAGATGATACAATATATATCTCAATATATTGCGATACATTCAGCCTGACAATATTAGCGATTTTTTTAGACTGAATTTATTGTAGGAAAATTCAATAAACAGTTCAAACTGACGCGTAACATGTTTAACATGAGGTATTTGAACCATAATAGAGGGATTTAATTTCAGTGGTGGAAACAAAACCCATTGCACACGGTTGCTAACTAGCAGTCAGCGTTTGAATTGCACCAAAAAAGAAAATACACAAATGTTTGCATGTAAATTCCTCCAAAAGTTCGATACACGGCTTTTGAATATCAATATAATATCGCAGGGGAAAAAATTGCAATATATTGCCATATAGATATTTTCTTACATCCTTAATTGTCACTTTGGCTATTGATAAACATCATTGTTTGGAAACTTGAGATTAAAGATATTCTTTATTTTTAAGATGGCAGCAATCCACTTTGATCTTATCTGTGTTTCTGTTAGCTTGTGTCATCAGAAGTAAATGCTTTTTCCAAATCAGAAACCAACAAAGACATTAGACTCTTAAAATAAAACAACCCATACCAACTTTCAAAAGACTTGCACTGCCATCAATTTTATGTTATTTACATCAAATTCTATGGCTATTGACAAAAGTAATAGTTTTAATGACATTTTGAAGATGTTAACCTAATTTAAATTGGCACTTTGGGTTTAGGTGAACTTGCCCTATCCTTTAGCTTTCAGTCCTGTTGCACACAAGTGTCCCCAAACTGAGGGCATTCAGAAAACTATCTACATAAAAGTAGTTATTTATTACTTTTAAAAACACACAAAAAGCTGAATAAATAAAGCATTTGGAGACAAGTTTAGTTACTTTTAAGTCAAGATCACAACTCAGATTTATGTAAAAAGAAAAAAATAGTCCTGGATTCAAATGCTCTTGTGAAAGACGGCTCTAGTTATCAGTAACTGGGTCAGTTTAAACACCGCCAGGGACTCAAGTCCTCAGGCGTTTACTTATACAATATTAAAAGTGCTGACGTTCAAGGTTAAATATTGTCAGCTCTAATCTCTTTTTAGGAACAAAGGTAGCATTGTGCCTTTAAATGTGTCCGTTTCACTTTTGCTGATTGAACACGTGTTTGGTTTTGTAAAATAAAGATTGACCATTTGTTTATCACCAACAGAAATCTACACACAAAAAAAAACTAGCTGAAGGATATCTAACATTTTGTGCTACTGAACATTTTTGCCCCATGAATTGCAGCTTCCAGGTGTCAACATGGTTTAACGTTTTTTATTTGCATGACTGGACTGGAGCCAAAGCTCACTGGGATCGTCTATTGTGAGTTTATTTCCTGATTCGTTAAATCAAACAGACAGGTCACGCAAGCATGGGCTCAGCCTTCTCACCTGGGCGACTTGTCAGAAAAACACTGAAATTTACAAAATGCATTTCTTACTCAGCTGGGTGATTTGGCTCTCCCAAATAATATTTTACTTCCTGTTTGCTAATCCAATAAACCAGTTTTAAAGTGAAATCCTAGATCAGGATGGCTGCATTTGAAAATAACTGCTTTGCGTGAAAATATTTAGACAAACATATGAAGAGTCATTTTAGACCTTTATAAAAAGCTTTATTGAAAGCTCCAATCTTCTTTCACAGAGAAATCCAGAGTTTTCCACCTTTCAGGAATTGTGTATGACTTGTAGAAATCTGTAAAATTGATGGCCTAACCCTGTACATAGGCAAAGTGTCGAATATTTGTCGCTAAGCCTGCTCTCATCCCATAAGTCCCCATATAATTTAAATTGAGCACAACTCAGCATTCACCAATAGCGTTCGACATCCGCTTACATTAAGTGAATCGTAGAGCAATACATATTTTCCGCCTCTTGATGGTGGCCTCTGAGAAAAAAAACACTAGATTTCCACTTGAAAGGTTTCATAATTGAAATTAGTTCAAACGAGTTGGGGGAAAATGTGTGATTCTTGGGTTGCGTGATTCTTGGGTTGCATTAGAAAGACGGCATTTAATTCATTCGCTGCCAGCGTTTCTCACAGTTTTTTACTGTTTTTTTTAAGAGTCACAGAACGTTGCGCGCTAGGATGATGTTGACGCCAAAACAACCAAAACAAAGAGGAGACTCAACTCTTACATCGAGAAGAATCAGCGTGTTTCAAGCATTATCCGTTCTTTCATAAACCGTTGTTGAATTGTGATCGGCAGAAGCTTTTCCGGTTCGCGCCTCACTTTTTTTTACAGCAGCGGCCCAAAACGATCTCCTAACACATGGATTTCCTGCTTCCTGATCATGTGACGTGTGACGTATGCGGATGAAGATCGGCTTTAGAGCTGAGATGTTTGTTCTCACGGTGCGGGGGCTCGTTCCGATGCCCACACAGTAAAAACATGCAAATGACGACTTTAGTCGATCATTGGCAGTGAACAGTTGGATTTAAAATGACGACTTTAGTCGTCAATGGCAGTGAATGAGTGAAAAGGGGGTGTTGTGGTTTTTACCTGCAGACTGCTGATGTGGCCTTTCTCAGCACACACATGCAGAGGAGAGCGGCCCCACAGGTCTCTAATGTTGATCTGAGAACCATGACTCAGGAGGTCAGAAACAATCAGGTGCTGATTGGTGGTGGTCGCAATGTGGAGAGCCGTCTGCACACAGACGATGCAGATTTAGCCACTTATTTAAAATTTATATTAAAAACAAAGTAATAATAATGAATCACCCTTTACATGTTTTTTCTTTCTTAATACCTGGCCGTTGTGTTCCTTTGTGTTCAGAGAGCCACATCTGGCCATTTTTGCAGCAAGCACATAAGCGAGAGCACGTCTACCTTGAGCCACAGCGATGTGAAGAAATCTGAGAAGGAAAATTGCAACAAATAGTTTAGACTTGTGTTTCATCTGTAAAACAATGACATACCTTGCCTGATTAGGTGTCAAAATATTTGACAAGTTAAACATTAAAATTATTAGAAATTATCGGTTGGGCACATTCTGTCAGTATGTTGGAAAGCAAAGAATGTTTAAGGACCAGATCCTGCCCGGACACTTGAGTTCTTGAGTTAAAGATTTGTTTATTTATTGCAAGTCAGCGTCATCTCAACAATTATCACAGTTATCGTGCATCGCAGGCTTTCCTAATATCGTGTAGCCCTAGATTCTATTACTACAGGCTGTTAGCATACCTCAACAAACCCTGAAACGTTTTAAAGTTAAGGGCAAAAACAAAGTTCAAGATATAAAGACAACATATACATTGTCAAACAAAATACAACTTACTAACTAAAGCCTAAAAAGACACATTTTAACAAGACCATTTAAACTATAAAAAAATAACGTGGTGTTCCACAAGGTAGCCGTCTCGCCCCCCTGGTGTGCAGATCCCTCTATGGCTAGAAAACGTTCTAGGGGAAACACTGCGAGGGATTAATAAAGTTTATCTTAGTCTGTTTTCTAGATTATGAATTTCATAAATACGTACGTGTCTCCATCAGAATCCTGCATGTTCAGCTGCTCAACAGTCAGTCCTTCAACTTTCTGAGACTCTTGCTGTATTTGCCAGTGAAACAGAGTCATCTTCCTCTCTGTTGCTGGAACATCTTGTCCCTGCAGAACAGTTGGTTGTATGGGTTCGTGAAACTGCTGCACTTCCATGTAGGCATTTTCAATAACTGGAGCGCCATAGTTCATGGTTGGATTCAGGTTGACTGGTTCAGGAGGGCTTGGCATTTGAGGACTGGCGTCAGGGCTGACAACCTCCTGTTTTGGAACTTTGAATTCATGCTCTGAGTTCCATTTCTGAAACACAAAGGGTAAAAACAAAATATGTTTGAGACACATGAATGTATGAGGAAAAACCAGCTTTACATTTGATGTAACGTGGGAACTCAATTCTTCCTCATACTTTGACAACCAATGGTTTAACTAATAAAGATATGAACCAATTTACTCCTTGCCCTATCTTAAAAAAAAACTTTGCTTCCTTGTGAATATTTGAGTTGAACTAACCTGGCGTCTTATCTTGAGAAGTTCTTTCACTGTGTTCTTTTTGTGCACCGGATGGATGGATACCGGTGGACTGCCGTCTGCAAACATGTAACCTGCATGTAAAATTTTAAATAATTACAAACAATACTGACAGAGAAAAACAACGACTTCAAGATGTAGTGGATAACACTGTTTCAAAATTAAAACGAGCCCCGATGTACAAAAGACATCACCGGCCCTTCCAGCCAATCACCACTGTGAGTGAAGTTAGGTCACTGTTTGTTGTTCGATGTCACTGCTATAGTGCTTCAAATATTTTTGTCATCTTTTAGGACAAATGTGTACCTTGGTCCTCATACATTTTAAATATTGTATTTATAACTTCAGGGGTTAAACGGGAAACAATGACATAAGTTCAGTTCCTACTGTGGTTACAATAAATAGCTTTTTACTCCTTAACATTGAGATTAGGAATATATTTTTTGCAAGTGAATTTTAAAAAGATTTGTCTTGTATTGTTACAGATTATTGCGCTACACTTTTTAAAAAATTCTCTCATCATTTTAAAATACAGCACTTTTGTCTTAAATATTTAAGGTCATATATGTAAAAAAAAAGCACAACATTTCCTAACAAATCCCCAAAAATGATACCAATCCAATCAAGAGTTATTGGCTTTCATTTCGGTTTTATGAAGGGAAGTACATCGCAAATTAGATATTTTTACTGTTAGTTTTAACCATCAACAAAGATATTTTAACACAGAGGAACTTTTGACACAGGAGTCTATGGGGTGCCATTTGTAGAGTCAAAGAGTCATAATTTAACAGCAATATTTTGGGTCATTCAGCCATAAGAGAAAATAATGGGAGTTCAGTTTTAAAAGTCAAATTTTGATCATGTTGTTCGTAAATTTATAAATGTTAAACTTCCCAACTAAATACTTAGTTGGCAAGCAACATTTAATTTTGAGTCATACTTTTATTTTACAAACTAAATTTTTAGGTAAGACCTAAAAACTAAGCTTGTAAAATAAATAAGTACTTTAATAACTTAATATTTTATTTGGAGCTAAAAAATTTTGTTTACAAACTAAATATTTAGCTCCATATAAAATATTTATTTGCCAAAATAAACTTTAGATCCCAGCTAAATATTTATTTTGGAGCTAAACGTTTAGTTTGCAAAAGCACCATTAGCTTTATCCCCCAATTAAACATTTAGCTGGGATCTAAATATGTATTTTGGAAAATAAACATTTAATTTGGAGCTAAATATTTATATAAACTAAATGTTTCTTCAAATTAAATATTTAGTTGGTAAATTAAACATTTCTTTTACAACCTATATATGTAGGCCTGACCTAAATGTGTAAAAAAAATATTTGACTCCAAATTAAATATTTAGCTAGCTAATTAAATACTTAGTTGGGAACTTTAGCATTTATTAATTGCATGGTGAAAATATGACTTGAACTCACGTTTTCGTCTTACATAACCCAAAATATTGCTGTTTATGTGACAATTTGACGAATGCCACACCACATTAGCCTACTTTATAGTTAGTTGGGGGGGTGTCGATTTAGGACGGTTTCGGTATAAATGCAACTGGCATTTAACTTAATTTAAGCATATGAATTGCTATTACAAATAAGTGGCTTATTTAATTCACACTGATTAAAAATACGATTTTAACTGTATTTTTGTTTAAAGGATTTTGATGACGTCTTTCACGTTTATACATCAAAGTTTTACAGCCTCAAAAACTTTTATCAAACTTTACAGAAATAAATAAATAGTCCTTACATTCTCTGGTCGGACTGAACTCGATGTCTGCTGGCAGAATCTGGCCCCGCTGGTCCAACATGTTCAGGACAAATTTGTTTACCGACAATTCGATTCCAAGAGAAAACCAAACGAGCTCTTCGACTTCTCCCACCGGCACCCCTAGATGACGACAACAAGCTGACAAAACCGACTTTTCATGTCGTACGATGAGAAACATTAAGCGCCTCCTTACCTGTTCAATTAAAATCCGAAAATGAGGAACAATTTGTTACGCGAAACACTTCCACACACCTGGCGCCTTGCTTTTTCCAGGTGACTCGGGTCTACGCTTTTCAAAATAAAAGCATTAGATCACAATTATTTCTTCTAATGGATAATAAAATTTTAACAGTTTTATAAAGGTTATAAATTAAACTAATAGAAACAAATATCAATTAGATTGTAATGAAAACATGTTTTTAACTTTTATCTAACCCAGTGTTAAAAGCAGCTTTGTAACAAATGAAGTACATATATGCACTTTGCATCACCTATAGAATAATACAAGTGTACACAATTTCTATTTGAGCTTTCAAATGACATAAGTTTTTAATTCTAAATCAACCACTCCAAATACCTGTTTCGCATTTATTTCTAAAATAAAATGAAAAAAAAAAAAACTAATTTGTAATTTAAAACAATCTATAAGAAATATTTTAGGACAGAAAGTACCTGTTAAATGTGCTGCCACTTCAGTGCCCCCAGTTAAAAGTGAACACCTGACAAACTGCTTGGTTTAGTTACTGGAAACTCCTCCCATTCATAACAGCTCATATTTGCTGGGAGTATTCTCAGGAAAAAGCACACCTGTATTCAGAACCTGTATTCAAAACAGGACATCAGTTCTGCTCATAACAACACTAATGATATGAAATGATGAAAATGGAAATAAATTGAGGTTTAAAATCTGATCATTGATAAAAATCTAGAAGAATGTTACAGGCTTACCCACATCTGTAGGTAAACACTATTTCTGATTAACACAATGTAATGCTATAAAAAGACAAGCCAAAAGGTAAATTTTACTCTTAACAGAGCTCATTTCCATTATTCTAATTAAAGCATGTCAAAGTAGATCACTTCACCAGAGAGGCGCATCCAGGACGCATCCTAACCAGATGCCTGAGCCACCTCAACTGGCTCCTCTCAATGTAGAGGAGCAGCGGATCTACTCCACTCCCCTCCCGGATGACAGAGCTTCTCACCCTATCTCTAAGGGAGAGCCCAGCCACCCTGCAGAGAAAACTCATTTCGGCCACTTGTATCCGCGATCTCAGTCTTTCAGTCACTACACAAAGCGTGTGACCGTGGGTGAGGGTAGAAGCGTAGAAGATGGCGTCCGGTTTCTCTTATGTTTTATTGCAGAGGAGAAACCGGACGCCAACTCAACACACGAACAACAGAACATAGAAAGGAGTGTGAGAAAGAAATAAGTCGAGGACACACAAGAGCAGCAAAAGAAGAAGCAGAAAGCACAATAAAGAAGTCAGCCATAACAGACCATTGCACAAGAGAAAACCATGTAATGGACTGGGACAACACAAGGCTGCATGAGATCTGACAAGACAAGGCAAACAGACAAGAGGCACGCCGAATTGGCGACTGGCGATAAAGATTCTCACACCTGGAAGACGGGATCCTGTGTTTATCTTTAATGTGATGTCCAAATATCAAGGTTGCACAACTTTGTGTTACAAGACACTGTGTGGCTCATGATTCACAGACATGCAGGGTGAATAAAAAAAACAACAGTTTCAGTTTCACAGGTCTCAATATTAATGTCGATGGTCTCAACCGATAGTCTCAACTCGTCTCCGTTGGTGGAAACTACATAATTTTTTCATTTAAAAAATAACCTTAAAGTTGAATAAATTACAAATTCAAGTGAAAAATGTCAACAAAAAGACATGATTTGAGCTTCTGCTGAGATGTGAACAGAAACACTGGCTTTCTTTTTGTTTCGTTGGCAAACATCATAAATACTGGCCAGTGGCGGCGCCAGGGGGCGCTATAGCTACCCCTGGATTAGTCGTTGCACCCTGCACCCCATAACACCCCCAAGTAAATATTAGATTTTTTTTACAATTTAATTTTAATTTACTGTGTGGATGTGATAATATTTAACATACAAAACAAAAATAATCAGTAAATTATCATATAGAAAGTAAAAACTTAAACCAAAACAGGAAATTAATGTTAACCGTTGACCTCATTTTCCACCTGTGAACGAGTGAAAGGTAGAGCTAGTGGTAAAATGGATCGGTTTTTGTTGCCCAAATTTCCACAGGTTCAGTCAGTAACGAATGAATGTTTGGAAGTGATCTCAGACCCACAAAAACCTACGGATCTGGATGAAGAGAGTCAACCCTCAACCGCCGCAGCAGTCGAGGGTTTTGCCGCTGGAAATGCTAACACTAACGTTAGCTAACCTTGCAACACTATAGATGGTTTTCTGTGTGGCTGTATGTGTTTATGATTTCATGGAAAAGTCAGCGATTGTTCATATGTTTATGATGTATATTAATGATTGTTTCAGGTGTTGTTGAGGTTTTGTGCACGCATGTGTATCTGCTAGTGTTGAAGGTGTTTTAGAGAACAATAGGTACGCATGACCACTTCCTTCATAGCACCCTCAATAAAAAAGACTAGCTCCTTCATAGCACCTGCAGAAAAACATTTCTGGAGCCGCCACTGCTACTGGCACCAATCACCCTGAACCAAACTGCACAGAAGGGGGAGTTTTTTTTAACAGGTTTTTACAAACAGTGAATTTTGAGCACAGTATTTGTGATAACTTAATTTTTGCATGTGACAAGCGTAACTAAGGTCAGGTTTGTACAACCGACTGAATTCATGAGCCACATATGGTCGTTTTCCTTCCATTTATCTATATAATTTTAGTCAAAACTTCAAGTAATTTCCAATTAAAGTTGTATTTTCAGTTTTTCAAATTCCTTCCTTCCCTACTTTTCATGCCAGCACAAGCTACCCCGCTCTAGCTCGACAACTCCAGGCAAAAAAACAAAACAAAAACAAAGTGCTCTAAAAATGTCTCTGGCTATGGAGGAACGGTCTTCAGCTGTTTGACTAACCGATCCAGACAAACAGTGACTTGACACATAAAGCAAATGAAAGGTAATCCTTCCACAACAGTCCAACTCCTACATAAATAAGCCGAAAATCATAAATTATGCAGTGAAAATCAGAGAACTGTGCATGTACAGGCTGGCTAAAATTGATCTCTGGCAACATTTTCTACAGAGAAAAGTTATATATTAAACAATGGTTTAGTGATCTCAAAGCAGTGCTGGTTCTTCATTCCCCTGGAATGGTTTTTTACAGAAAGGATTCGACGAGAACACGAGTGGTGGTCCAGCGTGACGAGCGGTTCGGTTGTTTTTCCACCAGAGCCTCCAGGATTCTGAAACTAGTTTTTACCTGACGGACAGAAACGAGCAGAACAGGTTTTCGTTTTAAAGAAACAGATCAGTTTACACCGATACCAAATCCAATTAAAATCTCAGTTTCGTGAATCAAACTGTAGCAAAGCTGATCTGATAATAAAATAAAATCATCTACGTGGTTAAAAGTTTGCTAAACGTGCACTGACCTGTGATGTATCGCGCACCAATTAGCATCAACATGCTGCCGATGATGTAAAATCCCAGGGGAATGCTGCAGAAGATGCTTGTTTCACCTGTTGGCCGTCAAATTTAAAAACAAGCAAAAAGTCATATGATCGCAAACATCTGAAGTTATTCTTCATACATATGAATTTGTTTTATTGCAGTTCTACCCAAAATATCGGTCTGACTTCAGAATAACTAAAATGACCAAAAAAACCTGTGTATGTCATCTAACCCACATATTAAAAATAAACCTTATTGGGACACTCCTTAGCACTCATCTGTCTTTGACTTGCAAGTATCATTTCAGTGATACTTTTTCTTTTTCACACTGTTTTTAAACAAACGTCTTCATGTTGCTTCTTGTTTGACAAGTTACTTTAATACTGGAATACATTTGTTGCCCTTTGTCACCGATTCTGTTCATAACTTTTATGGACATGAGTTCTAGGCACAGCCAAGGTGTTGAGGAGATCTGTTATGGTGATAATCTATTTTACACATTTTGCGCTTTTTTGCTGTAGCTTTGGTTTATTGTTCAGCCCTTTGGCCAACTTTGGCTCTTAAATTAATTTGATTTGCGGATTAGGTCTCTGCTTTTTGCAGATGATGTGATCCTGTTGCCTTGGTTACAGATTGGACTACTGCAACTCCCTGTATTCTGGCCTGGACCAGTCCTTCCTACACCGGCTTCAGCTGGTCCAAAATGCAGCGGCCCGCTTGCTGACTCGCACCAGCGAGCGGGATCACATAACCCCGGTTCTGGCCTCTCTCCATTGGCTTCCTGTCTCTTACAGGATCCATTTCAAATTTTTACTTTTTGTTTTAAATCCCTTCATGGCCCGGCACCATTTTACATCTCTGAGCTGCTGTCCGCTTACGTCCCTACCAGGACCATGAGGTCCTGCTCTCAAGCTCTCTTAACAGTTCCAAAAACCCGCCTTAAGACTCGCGGCGACAGAGCTTTCTCTGTGGTTGGTCCCAAGCTGTGGAACAAGCTACATCTCAACATCAGGACCACACAGAATCTAGAGTATTTTAAATCCCTTCTTAAGACGCATTTTTTGATCTGGCTTTTAATGCAGGTTGACTTGAGCATCTTAATAGTTTTTAACAGTTTTTACTATAAATTGTGACTGTTGTGTGCTCATCTTATTTTAGGTTTATTGATTTGTTTGACCTTGGTTTGTTGTACCTTGTACAGTGCTTTGGGTGCAGCTTTGCTGCTGTAAATGCGCTCTATAAATAAAATTGACCTTGACCTTCATCAGACCAGGATCTACAACTCTTGCTGGAGCGTAATATTAACTGCTTAAAAAAACAATGTGCAGTTTTTACAGTGAAACTCTGGAAAAATCCATCAAAATGTTGAAAAATATTTTGTAACAAAACCAAAAAAATTCTATATTTCTTCAAATATATATATATATATGTTTCTGTTACTATGTACTTTTGTAAGTACTGCTTGTCTGTACAGACAGTTTGATTTTGGTGAATTTCTTTAAAGCAATAATTATCACTGGAGGACATTCCTATATGAATTAAAGCAACATTTGAGGAGAAAAATGTATTTTATTTTGAAATCCTCGTATCAAGCACAATTTGATATACCGTAAGTGAAGTTCAAACCCAAGACTTTCCTAATCTTGGCCTGCATGTTTTAGATGATTTGCTGCTTTGACACACCTGGATCAGAGGAACTAATCAGCTATGTGCAACGTAAACAAGACGTGTAGGTATCGCGTCAGACCCGTGCCACAACCCGTGCACGCGCATTGGGTCCACAGCGCGCGTGTGAACGGGACTCGCGAGCGAAAATATACATGGCAGCGCGCGCGTGAACGGGACTCGCGAGCGAAAATATACATGGCGAGAGGTCATTTGTGCACTGAGAGGGAGCAAACTGTGTCTGTGAGCGCACAAGGATGTGCACAAGTGACAAACCTGCGTGCGCGCGTTGCCAACGAGCACACGGCAGAGGAAAACGTGCGCGCTCGGCAGCCTCTGCGCGCTCGGTTTCTAATTCCGCTCGCTCGGCTGTGAGGAGTTTTGGCACTCTGGAGGCGTGGCCTGTGGCAGATCTTCCCTGTCCTCTGATTGGTTAGTTTACCCCACACTTTACTCTCTACCTATCTATATAAAAAAATCTGGGATTCAGCAGTTGCTGTCATAGCTCAGCTGGGAGAGCGGGTGACTCTCACTCTGGAGGATCAAGGTTCGAGTCCAGCCAAGGGACATAGAGTTGATGTCATATTATTCTTTCCTAATTCCTGTGATATTATTTTACAGTTGTGACCGTTCAACTGTCATTAAACGTCCGAATGTTTGCTGGGCAGTGTTTTAAAAAGTGCAAATAAGCTAGATGGTTTTAACCAGGTAAAAATAGACTTGTGGGTGTAGGTATGTTCAAGTTTAAAAAGTTCTTGCCTCATTAATGTATTGTTTATTTTTTTCAGCATTTAATTGACAAATTATCCTTTCAAATAATTAATTGATGAGTTACATAATTGTCCATTTAGAATTGTTGAATGGACTGAGTCAAGTTTGGTGCACTTTATATATTTCAAAACATGTTTTTTTTAATTAT